TAGAGGTAATATTCCATGCTCTCTCTGCAGGTATTGGCTCTTCTGGCAAGCGGCTACTTTTCAATGACTCAAGCCTACTTGATGGAGCTTGGAGAGGTGATTTGCAAGTGCATGGGGGAAGCAGATCCATCCATTCAGCTTCATGAGCAAAGGTAATTTTCATCAAAACCACAACGCTTTTTCCTTCTGTCACTTTATATCCTCCTTTTCTTCACTTTATTCTTCTGCCACATGGCCTTCAATTCTGAGATTTCTTAAAGAGATTTCAGGTGAGGAAGACTATACATTCTTCTGTTTTCAGCTGTTACATGTAAACCCCAAGGATTGATTCGGTAACAAGTGAGTAAAGATATAGCTGTTGATTTCAGTCCTTGAAGAATGCCTCTGTTAAGAGTGACTGAAAAAAGGAAGAAAATTAGTTGTAAATTATGTTTTCCCTTGATTGAGGTGATCTCCAAACTAAAGTGAAGTTGTCTGTTAGTCCTAATACTCTGCTTTGGTAATTCTTTTTTCTTGGCAGCTTCTGGAAGAACTGGGCACAGGTTAATACAGCAGTATCAAGCCGGATTCTACTGTAGCAGCTGATCAGAGAGTGCCAGTCTTCTTGGCAAATAAATGTCAATTCATAGTTTTCTTTTAGGTGCTTCAGTTGCAGTTTTATTTTGAAGCTCAGTGGTAAGTGGAATAGATGGTATGGTTTCTTCCAGTGTCAAAAATTGTGTTTTATAATCAGGAATAACCCTCTAAGACCTGAGTGCAAGGCTGCAAAATCCAGAAAAGTGTGATAATATTTCAGAAATCGCTTATGTTTAACAGGGGCTGAAATCTGTCGAATGAAATTAAGAACCATAATCTTTATTTCATGACTAACATCAATTAACTGTATCATAGTTTTATGGTGCTTTAGTATATGATTGCTTTTCATTAATGTCATCTCATTTAAGTCTTGGAACTATTCTTTAAGTTAGGTATTAATTGAATTTTACAGCTAAAGAAACTAAGCCTGACAAGGTTAAAGGACATGTTTCATATTGTCCAGTTAATTAGCAGCAGACCCCAGGACCAGGCCTAGTCTCAGATCATATTTGTATAGAAAAAGTAAACTCTTTTATCTAGGATTGTTTTCTTTCTTTGAAGGAACAATTATTTTGTTGCTCTAAGCAGGTACAAGACCAAGGAGAAGCTGATAAAGAATTAAACATTTAAGTTGAAAAAATCGAAAATTAACTGTACAATTTTACTCAGAATTATTCTACCATCTATTACATCCACCTGTCATGTAATACCTGAAGTGACTAAAATAATTTGCAATCAAAGAACAAAGAGGAATGAATCTGCTATTTTGCAACCAAGGAACACCTCCCCAAAACAAAACAACAAAAACAATAGACCACCCATACCTAAAGTACGACTCCCGCAAACACAACTGACACGTGGCTTGGTTTTACCTGCTCGCTCCTCACGGGCACTCTGAAGGAAGAATGGTTCCTTCCACTTCAGACATGAGGAAATGAAACCTCCTACCTGTAAGGCCTCCAGTCGCATGGGGGATGGTTCGTAGGCACTTCCTGCTGCAGAGCCAGCATCGCTACCCGAACAGGAATCCTCCTTGGGCAGTACCACAATGGAAATGCAGAGTCGAATGAGCCAGCAGGGCTCTGAAGACCCCTCAGGTGAGCTGACTGACCTTTCTTCCAGAGAGGGTCCTGCAGGGGCTTTCTTCCACCAATCAGGAGGGCTGAGGTGAGGGGTTGCTGAATTGCTATTACCGAGTCCAGAAGAACATGGCTGTTGCAGAAGTAGCTGGACTTCAGGTAAAGGTGCGTGGGTGGACACTATAGCTCCCAAGAGTGTGAGACTTGACACGCGAACATTAACATCTGTCAAAGGAAGCAGTAACAACTTATCACCATGGGAACAGCTACCGTAAAGATGGTAGTTATCCCTGCAGGCAATTAAGAATAGTTCCTTGTGTAACCTGAATCTAATCAAACTTCTAGACCTCATTTCCAGTTTGGAAATACATGGGACAGGAGAATAAGTTAACACCATAAAGAAACAATCTGACAAATTGAGAATGTGGTTTATTTTGTTATCTTTGGTGATGAGCTTAGAGTTCACATTCTATAAGACAATTGGGTTGGATTCTTTCCTAAGTCCATTTGATGTAAAAAAGATGGGTGGGGGGACTCTAGATGTAAAAAGACTACAGTGATATGATAACTAAATGCAATGCATGTACACTGAATGAACCCCGGATTTTAACAAGAAATATTTTTAAAAAGCTAAATAAAAGGTCTGTGCCTAAACTCATTTTTTTTTTTTTTGCATGTGATGTCCAGCTGTTCCAGCACCGTTTGTTGAAAAGTATCCGCTCCTTTGTTCTAGATCAGTTGACTATATTTATGTGGGTCTATTTCTGGGCTCTCTATTCTGTTCCACTGATCTGTTTGTCTCTTCCTTGGCCAATATCACACTGTCTTAATTACTGTAGTTTTATAGTAGATTCTGAAGTTAGGGAATGTCAGTCCTTCAGTTTTGTTCTTCTCTATCAATATTGTGTCGGCTATTCTGGATCTTTCGCCTATCCATATACATTTCAGAATCAGTTCGTTGATATCTGCAAAGTAACCTGCTGGAATTTTGATTGACACTGCACTGAATCTATAGATCAAGCTGGGAAGAAGTAACATCTTTACAATATTGAGCCTTCCTATCCATGAACATGGAATCTCTGTCCATTCATTTAGTTATCTGATTCATTTCATCAGAGTTTCACAGTTTTCTTCGTACAGATCTTGTACATATTTTGTTAGGCTCATACCTAAAAATTTCAGGGTTTGAACATTTTAATGAAAAAAAGTTACTTGAGGATAAAGTCAGATACTTGAAAGGAACCTTTAAGACATGGTGCACTCTCTTCAGCTGAAGATGCAGATAATGAAAAGCTGGTACGGTGGAATGAGCAGGGGTTGTTTTCATCTTATTTCTACCATGAATGTGATGGGAAACTTTAGGGTAAGACTTATCTTTCTGGGTCCCTTTTTTACACATTAATGTAAGTAGTGAAGTGGACTTAGTTTACACCTCTTATCTCATTTGAGCCTCATAAAAACCTTATGACATAGTTATAATTCTTGCTGTTAGCAAGAAATTAGGGTTCAGAGAGGGCCATGGCCATGAGGTGGCAAAAATGGGAGTGGGCTCCAGACCCTTGGATTGACTTCAGGTCCCATGCTCTTCCCACTATGTCACTGAAAACAGCCACTATTCCTTCCTTGTTACAATCCTGTCTGAAAAACTGAACTCATCAGAATGTGGTGTGATGTGAAAGCTTGCAAACAAAAGAAAAGCAAATCTACAAAAGGCAAGTGTATAGCACATACACATTATGTGTGGGAGGAAATAATAAGGCTGCAGTTAGTAAAGATTTGAAGTTCTGGGATTTTATCTGAACTTACAGGAAATAATGTCAAAGAAGTTAAATTTTGTATTCGTTTTTCTTTCCAAAAAGTAGATAGTATCTATCTGTCCGTCTGTCTGTCTATCTAACCATCTATCCATGCTCTACTTATGCCTAAGGGATATAAACTATCACACCCCTGAGTGGGGCTGCTTGCACCCGGCTCAGTCTTAATTATAAAGTGATACTCTGGTCACTGCCCTGAACATTAAACAGGCATTACACTTTACAATTAATTCTCTAGCTCACTTCCACTGGGACTTGAGGGGTCAATTCTTGCAACAGCTGATACCCCTGAAAAGTTGAGAAGAATAAGCAGAGATCTCTTAAGAGTTGTAAAAATGCTTTGAATATATACATATATCTATATCTATGTATTTTGACTAATAGTCTGTATCTGACTGATATAAAGAAGCCATCAAGTTTAAGACACTACCAACCTTTGTGGCGAATATAAGGCTTTATCTGGTTCCAGACTTTGGTCAGCAGGCTGAGTTTTAGACGATTATAAGGTGCATTTGATACTAAATTTGCAAGGCACTGTAAAACACAAAAAGTAGTTCATCAAAAGGCTTGATTAAACCACAGCATAGAAACAAATTTTGCAGCGTTTAATTAGAAAAGTTTTCACACAACTAAAAATTAGTTCTTTTTTTTTTCTTTTTTAAATTAATACTTGTATTCTCATTGGTACAACTAAAGATAAAGTACTATTTTTAGCAAATCATTTATTAGGACATACAGAGATACAGAGATTATAGGTAAGATCACACAAGTAGGTACAGACTTCCAAATAGGGTATTTTTAATAAAACTATTACTTAGTTATATTCTTAAGTTACTTTTGGGCTATGTAAAACAGTATACAAAATTAAAACAGAGAAGCCCCCTCTGGAACCCGCAGTTCGTACATTACCTTAATTATCTGAGTAAGGGTCTGTGAGGATGACTCTGCCACCAAAGCTAACAAAAGACATCTGTGCAACTCTCTAATGCTGGAAGCGATCATTACAGAGAAGGGGGTAAAAGCCCTTCTGTGGTCACTGGTATCTTCAGCAACAGAAAGAAACTGCTTTGAGCCTTCCAAGATGGCAGATAAAACTTGCAGAGCACAGGCACGTGTCTGAAATTTCGGGATGATTCACACTGATTAGTTGAAAACTAGGAGTCAGATTCCCTTCTTCCTATACATGCTTAATGTTCAAAGTATTTACAATCATTTTAATTAGAAGAATAAAGGCAATGGGATTATCTGTTAGTTCCTAAAAACTAGGCCACTTGCATCCCACACCTAAGAAAAGAATCTTTATTTTATTTTTATTTTAGAGACATAGTCTTGCTCTGTCACCTAGGCTGCAGTGCAGTGGTGCAATCATAACCACTGCAGCCCCAAACTCCTGGGCTCCAGCAATCCTCCCACGTCAGCCCCACAAGTAGCTAGGACTACAGGTGTGTGCCACCACACCTGGCTAAAAAAAACTCTAGAAACACATTGCTGTTAGATTTCTTACAGTAAGAAGTAAATCTAAGCTACACCATAGCACAAAAATCTGAAATCCTGAGCATGAGAACAAGGATTAGAGGCCTGCTTTATTCAAGCAGAATGCCAACTGAAAAGTTAGAACTAAACAGCCCACGGGGTAGAAAAAATACAAGTGCCTAGAGTCTGTTTCCTATCAAAGTTCCTGAGAACATTATGCCTCATCTTCCACTCTTACGTATGTGTTCAATGTTAACTTAAATAGGACTTTAGGAACTTGGTGTACATACAACTTGGCAGACATCATTAGTGATCCAACTTTTAGAAACAGTCTCAGGTACAGGAAATAACACTGCCTGCAGTGACAGTATTTGACAATTCAAAAAAGGAATACCATTAAGTACAATCTTATGAATGGAAAGGACAAAAAGTACATCTTTGTCATGGACTGCTATATTTGTCAGGAAAGTTGTCACTGGCACCAAGATTTTCTTAATAAGGTTGAAAGATTACTTTCAATTGGTACTCTGACGATTTTGCAGTATTAAAAATCAGAAAGGAAAAGAAAGTCCAACTTTACAAAAACAGGATACAGGTAATAAGCAAAGGACTATTAATACGGAATACTATTGTACTCTCTTTGGCCAGCTCATCCAAAAATGACAATTAACATTTTTAGTCAAAAAATTTAAAAGCAGGGAATCAACATTACAATTCTAGAATCTAACCTAAATAGTTACCCAATATGAAGCATATCTGAGTTTGGAGCAAAAAAGCTTTTCCCAAAAGCCTTCAATTATATTATCTCCAAACAACCAGATGATAAATCACCAGGCAGGCCTTTTATAGACTGGAATCGTAGAAATCTAGACTTATTGCTCTGAAAAGAAATTTGAAGTACAGTAGCATCAGACTTCAGAATGAAGCATAATCCCCTAAGGTGGAAAACTGACAATGTATTAGGAAACCATGTGTATATGTGTGAAAAAACGAGACAGCAAGAGCATGAACACAAGTCAGCTGACCCAAAAAGGACTCAGATCAGGGGCTGGCAAACTTTTCTGTAAAGAGCCAGTGGTATGCATTTTATATTTTAGACTCTGCAGGTCAGTTTCCGTCACAACCACCCAACTCTATGATTGTAGCATAGACACGTAAAGGAGTAAATGTGGTTGTGTTCCAGAAAGACTTGATTTACGGACAATGAAATCTGAATTCCATATAATTTTCACATGAGATATTATTGTTTTATTTTAAAACCATTTAAAAGTGTAAAAACCGTTCTTAGCTCACAGGCCATACAAAAACAGGTGGTGGGCCAGATTTGCCCTACAGGCCACAGTTGGCCAATCCCTACTAGAGGCTGGTCCGAACTCAACAAGATAGATCTTATGCTAAACTTTTATTTCTTTAGAAGACAATTAAAATTCACAATTCCAACAGCTCACAAACTGAATAAAATTAAAAATCGAATAGAAAGAAATGAACTAACATTCCAAAAGTCAAAAATTTTAGCACAATTTTGGCATCTTAAGGGGAAAATCACGACTATCACAGATGCAAACAAATGTCATAGAAATTGGTTATTTTTTTCCACCAAGTTATAAAATCTACATAGAAATGTGATACTACATCATATTGTACTTCTCACAGTTCTGAGTTAATTTCCTTTAAACTCTGTTTAACATATCTTTGTTGTTATAATTGTTACTTAAGATACTGAATCTGGTACAAGTTTTGCTTTATTTATTCTTATATCAACATTTAATATCTTGTTTACCAGTTCTAATCAGCACTTTCAGCAGAAATTACTAATGTGCAAGCAAATCATAATAGGTGTAGCTCTCCAGGGAGCTCATTTTGTTAAGTTTTTATTGTCTGAATATTTAAAATGATGAATGAAAGGCTTTTCAGTCTTACAAAAGTCAGTGTGCTTGGTTTTACTAGTGTAGAGTTTCATCTCCTTGGTCATGAAGGCTTATCTAAAGCTAATAGAACAGAAAAGTACTTTTCCTTTTTTGCTACTTAAGAACGTAGCAGAAATGTTTGCTGAGGCAGCTTAGTCAATCCTAATTTGTTTTCTTCTTTATGTGTGTTTGGTCTCAGAATATTTCTGGAAGGGTGACAAAGAAGTCCCTGCTGGGAGTGGGTACCACTGAAGTTTCCATACAGGGCACCTGACTGTTTACACGTTATTTTATTGGATCTCACTTCCAAAGTCAGTTGTCTTTTACGTAAAGGCATTTCAACATTGTGTCAGGGACTCTGGATCGGGAGGTATCTAAGTGATATGGTTTGGCTGTGTCCCCACCCAAATCTCAACTTGGATAGTATCTCCCAGAATTCTCACGTGTTGTGGGAGGGATTTGTGGGAGGTAACTGAATCATAGGAGCTGGTCTTTCCCCTGCTTTTCTCGTGATAGTCTCACAGGATCTGATGGGTTTATCAGGGGTTTCCGCTTTTGCTTCTTCCTCATTTTCTCTTGCTGCCGCCATGTAAAGAAGTGCCTTTTGCCTCCTGCCATGATTCTCAGGCGTCCCCAGCCATGTGAACCTGTAAGTCCAATTAAACTGCTTTTCCTTCCTAGTCTCCAGTATGTCTTTATTAGAAGCGTGAATACAGATACACTAATTAAAGACTGCCTGTTCTTTGCTAATACACTAAGCAAAGATTGCCTGTTCTGGGCAGGCCATATGAGAGAAAAATCTACCATTCCATAACGGTTAACAATTCCAACCTTTTCATTCTCTTTTCTAGTTATACCATCTATTATCTTTTTTTTTTTTTTTTTTTTTTGAGACGGAGTCTCGCTCTGCCGCCCAGGCTGGAGTGCAGCGGCCGGATCTCAGCTCACTGCAAGCTCCGCCTCCCGGGTTCACGCCATTCTCCTGCCTCAGTCTCCCAAGTAGCTGGGACTACAGGCGCCCGCCACCTCGCCCGGCTAGTTTTTTGTATTTTTAAAGTAGAGACGGGGTTTCACCGTGTTAGCCAGGATGGTCTCGATCTCCTGACCTCGTGATCCGCCCGTCTCGGCCTCCCAAAGTGCTGGGATTACAGGCTTGAGCCACTGCGCCTGGCCTACACCATCTATTATCTTGATTTCGATTTGTTTTCACTTTTTATAGTTATCTAAAAGAGCAATAAATCATCATCCTAAAATTTGTAAATCAGGATAATTCTCAAGGTACCAAGATAAAGGTTTGCCCTGTAGTTTGTTTCTTAGACAAGTCTTGATGATATTCTCCATAATATGCCTTTATAACACCTAGGGAAATCATATAAAAGAAATTATTAAATTAGTCTTGTTCTTTTTATTGATAATTTGCTCTGTCCCTTTTGGAAGCATATAAGATGTGCTCTCTGAAGCACATTTCCAACATGGAAACGTGATCATTTCCCAAGTACCACAACACTGCCAAATCCTAATGGACATTTCTAAGTTTTCTTCTCCCCAGTTAACCATTCTAGCATATGTTTCAATTTCCTAAAAGTAGCCTCTGTTTATTGTTGGCATTCTGACTGGAAGAGTCTAATCACCTTTCCTTCTGTCCATTTGTCTTTAGAAAACTTCTCAGTACACCAGTTAAAATTGTGCTTTCAGCTGAGTACGCCATGGGTCATATCAGACCTGCCATAAAGTCAAAACTAACCACTAAGCACTTCAATGACAAGATAAACTATTGTTGTCTTATTTAATCCTGGCTAAAAGGAACTCCAGCCATCTAACTCTACATGCACAAGGAATACCTGAGATGACCACTTGGCCTGAAATCATGGCAGCTCTTTTAATCTGGTCAATCCAGAATGCTGTTCTATTCTAATTACATGATCTGTTATTTTTAATTTTAATGCACATAACTTTCTAGAAGTCTTTATTTTAAACGCCTGTCCCACTGGGCTGGGTGCGGTGGCTCACGCCTATAATCCCAGCACTTCGGGAGGCCGAGGCAGGTAGATCACCTGAGGTCAGGAGTTCCAGACCAGCCTGATCAACATGGAGAAATCCTGTCACTGCTAAAACTACAAAATTAGCCAGGCATGGTGGTGCATGCCTGTAGTCCCAGCTACTCGGGAGGCTGAGACAGAATCACTTGAACCCGGGAAGTGGAGGTTGCGTTGAGCCGAGATCCCACCATTGCACTCCAGCCTGGGCAACAAGGGCGAAACTCCATCTCAAAAAAAAAAAAAAGGCTGTCCTATGACATTACCTACCACAACACTTCCTTCTAGTATATGTCTTGGTGCACAGTTACTTACACTATGGACAGACTGCAAAGGTATGTTCCAAGCTTTGTTGTAAACAATAATCTCCATATTTATTTAAACCCTTCCAAGTTAACACTTGATTTAAAAAATCTCTCAAGGCCGGGCGCGGTGGCTCAAGCCTGTAATCCCAGCACTTTGGGAGGCCGAGATGGACGGATCACGAGGTCAGGAGATCGAGACCATCCTGGCTAACACGGTGAAACCCCGTCTCTATTAAGAAATACAAAAAACTAGCCGGGCGAGGTGGCGGGCGCCTGTAGTCCCAGCTACTCGGGAGGCTGAGGCCGGAGAATGGCGTGAACCCGGGAGGCGGAGCTTGCAGTGAGCTGAGATCCGGCCACTGCACTCCAGCCTGGGTGACAGAGTGAGACTCCGTCTCAAAAAAAAAAAAAAAAAAAAATCTCTCAAGTACAATCATTTCACTTGCAATTATACTGAACTAATTTAATTTCTTTCATCTTTTAAAATCCTCTTTAAGTAGGACGACTGTTTTTTTGTTTTGTTTTGTTTTGTTTTCCATTTCTCCAGGAGTTCCTTGTGGCTTTTTGTACTGGATCTATGACATCTACAGAAGGAAGTTCTGTATCTTTTTTCCTCAGCACATTTCTTGCATTCACCAAACTTAAATACCTAGAACAAGTCTAAAAGGTATGTAAATCAAGGAGATGGATAAGACCACTTTGCAATACGTGAAATTTCTCATGGCACTTTAAGTGAAATGTAAACATTTTAAAAAATATGAAGATATAAACGTCAGGAAAATTATTCCAATTCATTTTCATCAGCTATGACCTCACAACCTTTATGTATTCATGTTCCAAACCCCCACGTCCCGCATCCCCTTGGCTGGGCAGCTGTGATACAGGTGATAAAGCTGGGCTGCTGCTTGCTCCACAGCACTATCTCCTTGGCCACTGCTGGCAGCTCCCCTAGCTGGAGTGTCTTCAAATATATGTTCTCAATATTTTTAGCAGCTTTTATTTCAATTACTCTAATGGCTTCATTACTGATTTATTTGCCACCACTCATTTTCCATTTTTCTCCCAGGTTCTCATTCACTATTGATTTAGTTAATTTGTAAAATTTCTGCCAGTTTAATTTCCTAGGATAAGGAGTATTTGAAATATCCCACAAGTCATTTTTTTGCGGGGGTATAAAATTGAAGCTAACTTATTTTTCTTTACCTTGTAAAAGCTTCTGATGGGTCATCCAGAAATGTTCTTATATAGTAAGTTACTCAAGGAGATGACTCATATGGAATTCCAATGTATTGTGGGTTACCACCCCTGACCCCTTAATAATCTTTAAAATAGAAAAGGAACAATATGCTGTTAGCCTAATTAAAACTTCTCTCTTTGTGGGTAGTTGGTTACCTGAGGACACCCAGATGCCATTCGGCATGACTTTTTAATATTCACTGTTGTAAACAGCAGGCTATTTTCCTTACTTGGTTAAGTGGCTAAATTCTGGAGAGGAATTAACATATTTAAGCAGAGGCAAATATTTGATCAGCCGTGAGATATCTTGCTATAGGTATCCATGCCTGCCAATCATTTTCTTCTTCTTTTTTAAAAATAAGTTTTTCTCATTAAAATATGTAAATATTTATTACACATGATTTGAAAACTGGAAAAGTTACAAGGAAAAAAAACATGTTTGGGATCCTACTGTATATTTAATTCTGTATCCTGTGTTTTCACAGAACATTTTGAGCATTTTTCTAAGCCTTATGCATCCTTCATAGCCATTAGGTACCATAATATTCTACTGAGTTGTTTAAGCCATTTCTGATGTTTTCTTATTATAAATACCACAGCAATCAACATTTCCACAAAACGAAGAGAAGCACAGCTGCTTCAGTGCAGTTCAAGGGAGACACCAAAGTTAGAATTCAGTGTGCTCAGGCTTCAAGCAAGCCCTGGGGCAGAAGTGATCCTACATGATCAGCCTCAACATATTATTCACAAAAGCCCACTTCCTATTTTCCTGTCTGTCCAGCGGTTCTCAAGTCAGAACTTGGGTCAGTGTTACTAAGAGCTATATTCAGATCAGATAGGATAAGGCAGAGAAAACATTAAGGATCTGTACATTTTTTCTTCCTATTATAAAGCTTAGAGTTTAAATTCTCTTACCTTTGGAGAAGGGTCTTTCAACGTAAGAGTCATCAAGGACACTGATTGTGGGCTGCCAAGTTCAGGCGTATCAGGAATAAAGGCCGACCAGTAGCCATAAAGAACTTTTTTTTCTATCGATTTTATAGTAGAAAGAAAGCAAACTAAGGCTCCTTGGCGAACTTTGGCTTGGTAAGACCTTTCATACCCAAGAGAAAAAAAAAAAAACATTTAAAAAATCATTTTTTTTTCAAAATGCAAACATGAAACGGTATTTGGTATTTACTTCCACTAATTCAAAAGATACATACAAAAATTAAACATTCTAAATAATTCCTAAAGATGTCAATGTGTTATTAAAATTTTTCTTTCAAAGTACAATCAAAACATGTTAAGACAATTTGTTTCTATAACAAGTTATTAAGGCTGACAATTAAAAAACACAACTGGAGAACAAGAGGACAACATTTTGATATCAGGAAACTAGTGTTAGACACGAAAAACTGCCGAGTATCCATCCATCCATTCAACGAGTATTACTGAATGACCTGTGTATGTGCCAGGCATCATGCTGAGGCTGCTAGACATAAACAAAGCGCCAGCCTTGACAAGCTAGGCAGCAAGGGACAGTTAAGGAGATAACCATAATATGTCACGAATAACACTAAGGCAGAAAAGGCTTCCTGGGGAATATGATTTCAGAGCCTATATCAAAGATGAATAGTGGTTCGCAAGATGAAAAGGCAAAAAAGAATATTCTAAGGAGAGGAATGACATGTGCAATGGCAGATCAAGACAGCAAGTCATGTTCTGAATAACACCATGCCCCCAGAAATCAGGCTCTTCAAGTTAAATCACATGCAGCAGTCAAGTTTTTCAGGAAAGTTATAAACTTACATGCAACTTAGAATACAACATATAAAAATGTAACAAAATACTACTACCTCATTTTACTCTGCATGCCTCCTTCAGCATCAGAATAGTCTGACTCACTACTGCTGACCCTTTTCCAACTGGAAGAACTGAAGGGTGAGGAGACTCCATCTTTTCCTGCAGCTCCACTTCCATCTAAAGGCAAACTCTGGACACCCAGGGAGGAGGGAGACCAAGTGTTCCCTTCATGCAGGTTCACTCTGCCTGTGCCAGTGACTGAGGCTGCCTCTATTTCACCACTGGATTCCTTTTCCTCCTCCTCTCCTTGCTGGATTTTCTTTGGTTTAACTTTGGATTTTTTCTTTTTATTCTGATTTTAGGAGCAAACGAAGACATACATAATAGCTACTTCAGAATGGCTTTTCACTGAATCATTACTTCTTCATGTTAAAGTGACTAAATATGTCCCCAACATGTAGTTTAAAGAAGAAAAGAGAAAAGAAAAAAGTGGAACTTCTTTAATACCCTAGGCATCAGGCACGATGCTAAGTGCTGACTGTCTACTATTAGAAAGAAGGAATGAAATACATGAGACACAGTAAAACACGTGGCCTAGGTTTAAATTGTACCTCTCTGACTTGAGGCAAATCATTTAGCCTCTCTTGAGCTTGACCTTGCTTATCTGTAAGTATGCGGCTAATACCACCTACCTTGCACAGGTGTTGGGAAAGTACTCAGCCTTCTCAATTGGAATTTCTCAAGAGCATTAAAGCCTATAGAAAATGACTTGAGTGTCTATTTTATCCGTTCTCCAAGTAAGATACATAGCTAGTATCACTACATGCCTGCATAGAAGAGACGGTAGTCCATTTACATACAATGCACATTTCAGAGCCTTGGGTCTCTGTACAAGTAGATACTAAGTAGAAGCCAGTTTTCTTTCTTTCTTTCTCCCTGTTACTCTCTTTCTGATATCCAAGTATATCTGGAATCTGGGTCTTCCTCCACGTTCTCAAAGTCTGTGGCCTTGGGGAAGGAAGCTCCCATTACTTCTATCTTGGACTACTTATTGTGGCCCCAGACCCATACTTTTTTATTTGCTACCACAGTGATTTTTCTAAGACGCAAATCTGATAACGTCATTCCCCTATACAAGATTCTTTAATGAATCTCTATTGCCTACGAGATAAAAACCCAAACTCCTCAGCCTCCTGTACAAGAATCTCATCATTCAGCCTCTGCTACACAATGGCTCCACTCTTTCTCTGCCGCACTGAAACTCTAGTCCTGCTAGTTAACAAATGGACAATGTGGCCGGGCGCGGTGGCTCAAGCCTGTAATCCCAGCACTTTGGGAGGCCGAGACGGGCGGATCACGAGGTCAGGAGATCAAGACCATCCTGGCTAACATGGTGAAACCTCGTCTCTACTAAAAATACAAAAAACTAGCCGGGCGAGGTGGCGGGCGCCTGTAGTCCCAGCTACTTGGGAGGCTGAGGCAGGAGAATGGCGTGAACCCGGGAGGCGGAGCTTGCAGTGAGCTGAGATCCGGCCACTGCACTCCAGCCCGGGCGACAGAGCGAGACTCCGTCTCAAAAAAAAAAACAAAAAAAACACAAATGGGCAATGTATACTCTCATTCTCTATGTCTATGTGCCTTTCATTTTATCAGCATGAAACACTCATTCCTCCTTGTCAGTACTGCTACTCACTCTGAAATCTCTGTTTAGCTACCACACCTTTAAAAAGCCTCCTCTTCCTCCTCCATTTAGACTGGGTGCCCTCAACGTGTTCCCAGAGTACTCTGTGAATATTCTAATGAGAGAAACAATAATATTGTATTGTAGTTGTTTATCCATCTTTGCCTTCTCCCTCAAACTCCTAAAAGCAGCCAGTCTATATACTTAGTGCTTAGCACAGTGTCTGGAATACAGCAGACGTTGGGTAAATGCCGAGTGAGTGAATGAGTGAAATAATTTCTAATAAGAAGCATTTTGATCAGGTATGACATTTCTGGAAGTGAATCCTTGGCCATACATCTGTATGCTCCAGGTTCTCCAACCTAAGCATGAGGCAGATGGCAGCTATCTGGAAAGGCTGGGAAATCAGGTGAATGTAAGGTGTGGAGATGGCGCACTGACTGGTAGATGGGCTTCTAACGATCTAGAGAGGGGCTGGCAAATTATGGCCCAAAGCCAAATCCAGCCCAACACACAGCCTGCTTCTGTAAATAAAGTTTTAGTGAAACAGTCATGCCCATTCATTTACATAGTGTCTATGGCTGCTTTTGCTCTGTTACAATAGAGTTGGCAGTTATGACAGAGACCTAAAGTATTTACTAGCCTTGTAGAGAAAGTTTAGAAAACTTTGTTGACTCCTGGTCTTGGGCATCATGGGGATGACAATGCTTGGTTTGGGGTATAAAGTGGATGCTCATTTTTATAGCTGTCACATTGATTACACCTCTGAGAAGTATAAGATGCTTAACTGGTACTTTGAGCATCAGATGAATTTAAATTTACTATGCTAACAACCCTAAACTGAAATAAAATTCAAGGTAGGCTTTTAGGGTAGTAGTGATGCAAATCACAGAAAACACACATAGCAATCTATTAAAAATACGCCACAACTTAAATCAAAATAAACATAAATGTACCAAAGTTGGTCGAGAAGCACTGGATTCTGATTGCTGTGGTTTGATAGGTGTTCGCCCATCATACTGAGGAAGCGGAGTTGGGTACAACACCGTGGGCATCTCTATGTTTAGTCCGGGGAGTCCGTGAAACATGAACTTCTAATAATGATCAAGGACACACACACACACACACATACACAAAACCAAAAAAACCATTAATCATAAAACAGAACTATTTACCATGTCTGGATCAGACCACTCACAGATTAATGTTCAAAAGACTACTAAGGAAATATAAATGAGACAGAAAATAGATATCTTGAAGGCGTAGGGCTTAAAGAAGAGCTGAAGTTTATCTGGCCTCCAGCTGGATCTGGTTTGGTCAGATCAAATCAGGTCTGGTTTTAGTTTCCTTATTTATTCATAAAATTTATCCAATTACTTTATCTGTCTACAATTTTTTTAAACCAATTTATCATTTTTATTTACCTATCTCCACCTATAGCTATCTCTCTATTTGATGTGGGAGCAAGAGACTGCCACAAGGAAAGAATTACTTCTTACTTTGCTGGCTGAAGAAGCTGGGTCCCCGGAGATGCTGGCCTGACTTTCCGACTGACTGGCACGCTCGGAAGCTGCCCACTGACACACGTCTTGGTTGGCCTGCCTACTACTTGGAGGAGAAAGCCAAGGAGAAGCACTGGCTCTTCTTGCAAGTACAAACAGGTACAACATAATCTATAATTAAATCTTCTAAAGGTCATACCCCCCTACCTATTCCCTTCCTACGATTCAGAGATAATTTTAAAATGTTGATGCATTTATTAAATGGAGATTTATTATTTTCTGTTCTTAAGTGTCTTTGAATATGAACATTTTTGTCTACTTTCTCAAAATATATGTAAGAACTTTTAATACCTCAAAGTTAGCCTTAGAATAAGGATGTAAAGTGGTCCTTGTACCATGGGTTGAAACAGGAAAGACAATGATCATATGAAGACTTGTCTTACCTTTAGCACAGCTAAAAGTGCTCCAAGTTCATCAGTCTGTGTTAGTTTCATTCTCCCACCATTTAGAAGTGACTGTATACCTTTTAATGCATTTTGCAGTAACTAGGGGGAAAAGGGAGACCCAGTTAGAAGGCAGAATAAAATCTGGTTGTCCAGGAATCAACTTACTAGCACCACTTAGGAAGGAAGAGAGACAGTCTCTGGATGGTGGAAAAAACCTTTAGACACACACATACACACACAGAGCAGAGACGAAGATCCAAGGAGACCTGGTAAACTACCATGAATTCTTTTCTAGAAGAAAAGAATAATGAAGTGGTCTTATTGTACACATTTATAAACCCGTATGTACAAATGGTAAGAAAAAAGAGAGAAGATGTTTAGCAAGAAAAATGTGATAAGTGATAAAAAAGAGATAGCACAGATCAGAATTGGGGGAAGCTCCGTAACATGGCAAACCCAGCCCTCTTAAAGGAAAGGGGATGTATGTGGGAACAGATGATAAATTATAAAAACTTGGTTTCTGGAGGGCAATTCTGACCAAGATTGATTTCTTGACTCAGTAATCTCATTTCTAGAACTCTGTCCTTAAGAAATACTTCCTACATTGGGATGATATGAACTGTAGTCTTGTTTGAAATAGTGGGAAAATTTTAAAAACTTCAGTTATGATGATTATGATAATAATTAGAAGCTAACCCTCTGCTAAATGTAAAACTCAACAAGAAGAACAGCAGACCCTTTGAATGCTTTATTTCATCTACTTCTCTTAAGAACCCCACAATGCGGTTATATCAGTCCCTTTTCAGGGAGGAATATGGAGGCTCCAAGAAGTTAACTAATTTGTCCAAGGTCTTCCAGCCATAGCAGTTAGAAAGTATGAGGTATATTAACAGGAACCGAATAGATGTCCCAGATATATTAAGTTTTAACAAAACAAGAAAGTTACAAAACAGCATGTTAAATATGACCCCATTTAAAGTTGTAAATATGCTCATTTACATACATAAAAAAAAAAACTGAGAGCACATAGCACAAATCGTCTTCAGTGGCTACATCTGAGCAGGAGACTAGAAGGAACTTTATCTTAGATATATAACATTTGAAATGTGTTACTCTAAATTTAAAGGATGTTAACAAACTGTCATTTGCATCATATTTTTTAAAAAGAAATAAAATATTGCAGATATATTTGGTGAAATCTCTCTTCACTTCCATCTTAAAGATAGTCACTAGCCTGCAACTGTTGGTTTTATACTCAGAAGGAAAAAGAATAGTTTCCTCTAAAAAGCTAGAATTGTAAAATGTAGCAAATAAAAAGCTTCTTATAATTTAAACCGAAAAGGTATAATTTTAGTCTTTCTAGGTTACAAACATTTCATATATGTGTATTGCTCTAGACAAAGCTAATAGTGCAAATTAAACTCATTTGTAACACTTTTCCAATCTGCTGCTAGACACATCCACGACATTCACTAGATCAATGATAATCCACTTACCATGCAAAATGTGATATCATCCATATCAGATGATTTTGGAGATTGTAAAATAGTCAGGAAAGCTTGGAAACAGATATTTTGGTAGGGTTCCTCCAAATATGGCTGTCCGGGCACACTAAATGCGTATAGAGAAAACAACTCAAACTCAGTCTCTTTTGAAATGAGGCTTGCAAAAGACTAATTAAAAATAGCAGTAATATGGACTATTAGAGTTGGAATATACCCTTGAATGCAACTATGCTATGAAAAGTTATTATTTTGGTTAATTAGTTACTGCTGGGGGACAGGCACAGGGCTAGAATGAGTAAGAGGAAGGGTGGATTCCATAAGGAAAGGTTACAGAATTTTGTGGCAGAAAAAGTATGGAGAAAGAAAAATCTTGTTTTAGTTCTGCTGTTCAGTCCCAAGAGGGAAATAATCCAGACAGGTCCTGTCAAGCTAGAATCACACATCTGTACCTGCCTTCCTACTCACTGGACAGCACCGTGCCATGCAGAGACGAGTTCATATTTGTGCTGCTCGTTTTCAATTGCCTACTGTGAGAATCTAGGGGGAGCAGCTGGGGCTGTTTCTGTCTTCTTCAAAGAAAAGAAATTGCCCTTTACAGATACGTCTCGCCAGCACTGAAATTTGCATGAATATATCCTTCTAAAAACTTAGTATCCTTAGAAGTTATACCAATAGAAAACAAAATTTTGACATACTGCACATTATGTCACTATTACCACATTTTAGGAATATGGTCCTAGTCTATTTTTTCCCTCTTTACAAGCAATATTAAAATTAACAAACAACGTAAGATGATTTTATTAGTAAAGTACATGGGAAATGCAAAGTTAGCTATTTGTCTAAGTCGGCCCCGGCTTCAGGCAGAGGGAAATACCTACAAAGGGACCAACAGAGGAACTATCTTATGATTGTTGAGAAACTTGACTGGAGCCACATACCTGAGACATAAATTTGCCATACAATGTACTGCAACTCTCCTGACTTCAGGATCAGACTGAGCCAAGTCACTCAACTTCATTAAGAGTCCGGTCTTGCCTAGTAGCTCTGGGAGGTACTAAGACAAGTAAGAGTCAACATAGGTCAAAGAAAAGCTTCTAGGAAAATATTATGTTTTACACAGATTTCCTTCCTTCCTTCCTTCCTTCCTTCCCTCCCTCCCTCCCTCCCTCCCCCTCTCCCTCCCCTCCCTCCCTCCCTTCCTTTTCTTTTTTTTCTTTACTTCTCTTTCTTTTTTCTCGTTCTCTTTCTCTCTCTCTCTTTTTTTTTAACTAAATGGCAGTTAAGCACCAAAAGACTAGCTGTTAGATAAATGTCTCAGATGGATATGCAAAGATATGCCAAAAAGCATCAATAAGGATCATTACTCCCAGCCTAGGAAGCAGCTGATGCTCTTTAGTGTGGCCGAATGGCTGATGGGTAATGATAATATTAAGAATAATGGTTACTATTTACCAAGGGCCATGAACTTGACAAGTATTGTCTCACTTCATCCTCAGAGTAACAATTTTATACATGAGGAAACAAGGCCCAGAGTGGCTAAGTAAGAATTGCTAGAGATTAGTAGCAAGATAGAAACCTGAACACAGTGTTGGCACCAGAGCCTGTGCTCCTGGCCTTTCAAAGGAAGGATAAAGCACTTTAAACTACCTTTTGACATTTTGAGCCATTGCAGTACACCAGAGCTGCCAGGGCTTGAAGAATTTCCATGTGTGTCCAGGAACTACACTGATGAATAGCCGAAATAGTATATGCCAACAGGAAATCCAAGTGCTGTTCATCCACAATTACCTAACACAACAGGAAAAGATATATTCTGATCTAAATTTTAAAAGATATTATGCTTTTATGGACATGTATGCTCACCTGAATCAAGCTGTATAAAAGACAGAGTGTGTGTCTGTCGTTTACGTGTCAAAAGGATCACCTCTAAAGGGCCTGAAAGTTTGATCAACGTAGGGGCCTTCTCCCCGCCCTAAGGTCTTGCTCACTTCTTCCTCTTTAGTAAAGTAGAACTTGATAATCAAGTCCTTGTAACTTTTCCTTGAACTAACCAGACATTGGCAGCTGTGAATACACAGATTTGAGTATTTCAATGCACTGAAATTTAATTAAACTGCCTTATACATAATACACTCAACGAATACACAGTGAACCAATATAACTGCTAAACACCTACTGCATCTCTAACATGACCTGAGTAATACCCCCTGAAGACAGGGCATATCCCTGCTGTCACGGAGCTGATCATCTTGTTGGGACAGACCAGACTAATCCAAGTGTCAATTCATGGACAATTGAGACTAACTGGCACCAAATGCTGGAAAACTGGTAAAGGGTGATAGGTGCCACAGGTGTTCAGGAACATCTCCAATTGCCAGTGTTACAAAGACGATACACCTGAGAATAGTAAACATACAGGAGCTACCCCATGTTAGTTTCGACGATTCTAAACGGAAAACAGCCTTACTCCATGCAGCAGAGTTGGTTGGTTATCTACCAGCATCCATTTCTTCCTTCCCTGCTGGCAGAGTACTAATTTAATTTGGAAGTCCACCTCTCCCACATGAGACCTAAGGGTAAACGCTAATTAGTTTAAGAGAGTGGGGCAACCTGGGGCAACCTGAACCCCCAAGAAACATTTGGCAATGCCTGTATTTTTGACTGCCACAATTGGAGAGCTGCTACTGGCGTCTAGTGGGCAGAGCCCAAGGATGCTGCTAAACATTCCACAATGTGCAAGACAGCCCCTAAAACAATGATCTGGGCCAAAATATCAATAGTGCTGAGGCTGAGAAACCCTGATGTAGGCTAATTGTTGCTGCACATTGTAAGCATCGAGGGAGCTTAAGTCCTCCTCCAAGTGATTCTAATGTGTAGTGAAGGCTGAAACTACTGGCTGGAGCCATTCACTAAGACCATTCTCCTGCTTAAAGACTGGTTTAGAGAGGTATTTATATGACCTAAGTCTCTCCAGCAAGATACTGGGGAGTCTAATAGAGAGTTTATGGGACACATTTCCTTACTCTTAAGTATAAGAGACACAATATAAAATACAGTTATTTAGTTTCTGCTGAACATTAATCATTTCTTTGGCAGGGGATGTCCAGAATTGGCATAGCCATCTTATGACTGTGAGAGATGCTAGCTGAGGGTAACCCACATGCTGAGGATGGTGAAGGGAAAGATGAGCCTCTTATTATTAAGGGGCTACAGATGCCTCCCTTGGGACTTGGGACATGGAGTGATTCCTTTTTATTTTTTTAAAAGTTGTTTAGTGACTGGGATGGCTTTTCTGTTCCTTGCAGCCAAAAGCATCCTAATTCACATAATGCTAGTTGATATGTTTTGTGCTTTTAAATATATGCACACACTCATGTGGTAACAGTCTTAAATAAATAACTGGGCTCTTTTTATCCTTCTGTCCCCTTGGCCCCAAGCTACTTCTTATATTTTAGAAGCATCAAAAGTAGACCACAAAAATGGTAGCTTCAGGAAAGGGGAAAAATATTGGTGGGAAAGAGGTAGGGGGTTATTTCAATTTATTCTTAGATATATTTTGTTCAAATATATCTTCCATAAGAAATTATAAATTAGCCAGGTGTGGTGGTGGGCGCCTGTAGTCCCAGCTACTTGGGAGGCTGAGGCAGGAGAATGGTGTGAACCCAGGAGGTGGAGCTTGCAGTGAGCCAAGATAGCGCCACTGCACTCCAGGCTGGGCAACAGTGTGAGACTCTGTCTCAAAAAAAAAAAGAAAGAAAGAAATTATAAGGTTGGGGGGCCTGAATGATACTAGTTAACTGAACCAAACAGAAAGGCATACTCCTAATGGACAAACTACTAGAATTCTACAGAATAATTTTTTTTTTTTTGGATCAGAGTTATATTTGCTTTAAAAGTATTATTATTAAGGCATTTGCTTTTCCTATAGCATCTCAAAAACCAGTCTATCATACCTACTACAGATGTAGTATTTCAAAGGTATCTACTTAGTCTCAAAAGTTCATGATCTGAATTCTAGAGTTACACACATGATTACCTGTAATCTGTTAAGTAAATGGTGGATAAGCTGGGACACTTTGCTGACAAGATGATTCTGGTTAAGAGGTACCAGTCGGCAAGCCTGGACAAGAAGAGCACTAACGTCCTACCAAAAAAAAAAAAAAAAACAAAGAAGAGGTAAAATACTTATTAGTCAAGTGAGGATCCTCAAAACACAGCCAAATGGGAAAACAAAAGTAAATATTCACATTCAAAATGGGGAAAGAAAATGTGAGGCAGGAAGGAAAAAAATGAAGTGACAGCACAAAAATAGGATGTGCTAAAAAAGAAGGAAAAAGTCAGGCACAGTGGCTCACACCTAATCCCAGTTCTTTGGTAGGTCAAAGCGGGAGGACTGCTTGAGCCCAGGAGTCCAAGACCAGCTTGGGCAACATAGTGAGACTCCATCTCTACAGAAAAAAACTTAAAAAAAAAAATTGTCTGGAAATGGTGGTGTGTAGTCCTAGCTTCTTGGGAGGCTGAGGTGGGAGGACAGCTTGAGCCCAGGAGTTCAAGGTCACAGTGAGCTATGATCTTGCTGCTGTGCTCCAGTCTGGATGACAGAGTGAGACCTTGTCTCTTAAAAAAAAAAAAAAAAAAAAAAAAAAAAAAGGAAAAGAATCAACATGGTTTTGGTCAGGCTGAAGACTCTGCTCTCTATATATGTAGAGACAATATAATTAAACAACCAAAGAAAGGCTTCTAGGGTATAAAAGCACAAACTGAAAGTTAAAAATACCAAAAGGTAAGTGAACCAGATTTTCAATGTCATTGGGAAAAATCAGACCTAACACTTCTATGGATTTTATGCATAATTAGGGAATTCGTAAAAAAAAAAGAAGCGGGACCTATTTGCAAGTCACACTCTTCATTCATCCATTGATGTTTATAGAATGACAAGGTTCCGAGCACCCACAACGTGCCATAGTGTGCTAGGTCCTTGGGCTCCAGAGGTAAAAACAAACATGTTCCCGAACCTCAAAGAGCTCACAAACTAGTGACAGAAAGAAACACAACAAATAATTAAAATAAGGTGAATAAAGTGCTGAAAGAATAAAGTACAAACTCTGTCCAGAAACAGTAATTAGGGAGGCCTTGTGGAGGTGATTGTAAAGCAGAACCTGGAATGATTTGAAGGATGAGGAGAAATTTGCCAGATAGGGCATCAAAAAACACTGCAAGCAAAGTGGTCAGAGTATGCAAAAACCTGGAGGTGTGAAACACCAGTAGGTGCCTGAAGAACAGCAAGTTTTAAATGACTGCACACAGGAACAAAAGGAGTAACAGGAGAGAATGGAAAGGTAGGAAGTTTTGTTGCAAAAGTATCGAATTATACAAATACAGCAAAAGTCCCCGACTACTGCCTTAATCTCACTCTGCTTCCTAATGACATACACTATTATTCTGTTGTCAATTCTTTCAGACCTTTTACTTTGCATACATAAACACACATATTTTAAAATCCCTCCTCCAGCTTCATACAGATCTCATTCTGTATGAATTGTTCTGCAACTTGCTTCAACCATTTACCGATACGCATTGAAGACTTTTCCAAAGCAGATTTTAAATTTTATGATCAAATTTTTTTCCTCCTAAAGAAAAGATCATTCTGGCATCAGAGGAATGACTGGCTTGGAGAGGAGTTAGACAGGAGGCAGGAGATCAGTTAGAAGAGACCTGTGGAACAGTCCAGGCATAAGACGCTTTGCCTGAGGTCTAAGGCACTCGCTATGGGAACACACAGGAGGGGATGAACTGAGAAATATGTATGAGACACATTCTGAAATATCTGAATTGGACAGGATCTGGGATGAAGGAGGGAAGAAACAGTGTTTGTGTCTTGTGTGACTTGGTGGATGGTGCATGTGTGTTGGAAAGTAGGATGGGTTAGGGACGGGAATGTGAGTTTGGAGCTAATGAATTTCATCTTTAGGAACTGTCTAGTTTGAAATGCCTGTGCAAGCAGGCAACTTGCACCACTTCCCTCTTTCCTACGTAGGGCCAGAAGGCCATGGTGTCAACAGTTCAGAGAATTCATTAATTTAAGGCTTTATGTGTGTAAGATTACTCAAAAAGACGGCAGAGGGGAGGAGCCAGTGTGTAGGAACACAAAACGTAGGGCTTTGTGGCAGAGTTTTGTATACTGTATTTTTATGAGCTTCAGTATTTTCATCAGCAAAAAAAGACCTAATACTACTCAAGTTCTAAGATTCCCATGTGGTCCGTGTACCATGTACCCAATAAACAGTACTAATGATGCATTTTGTCAACAAAGTGTTCTGGGTGCATAGAGAGGCAGTGAAGGAGGGTGCGGACAGATGGAAAGGTGGTATCAGAGAGAAAACCCGAGGCATTATCAGAGCAGGAGTCGTCAAGTTGGGTTTTGAATGAGTCGAGCGTGCCAAGCACTGCACGGTCTTCCAAATGGAGAAATAAGAATGTGCCAAGGTAGGAGGGGGCACGCCAGTCTGAAACTAAATCATCAGGCGCGAGAGTAGGAACAGCAGAGAAAGGCAGGCGGAGGCCACCAGCCGGGTTCCCGGAGGGGTGGGGCTGGGGCCAGCAGGCGCCGCACCAGCTCTCTCCCGGGCGCGCCGCCTACCTCCGGAGCCACGCCACTGCCCTCGCTGTAGTTCTCGGAGATGAGCTGATCGAAGAGCAGGTGGATCTCGGTGCGGGCGGAGCTGCTCTCATCCGGGCGAAGGGCGCAGAGCCTGGCAGACAAGCGGCGAAACGCATTGCCTCGCTCCGGGATTGCTTCCCGCGGTGCCTCCCGCGGCTGCCCGGAAGGCAAGGAGTCGGCAACTTGCACAGCAGCCATCTTTTCTAGGTGTGGGGGAGGGGGGAGATCCCAGGGAAATACTTCCGGGGCATCCTCCCGCTCCGCGCGCTAGTTCCGGAAGTACTTTTTTTGGACCGGACTGGGGCTCAGAGGGGTTTCCGTGACTGCGGGACGCCTCTGACTGGTACCCTACAAATGCTTGTCAGAAATTGGCTTGGAGGCCGGGCGCGGTGGCTCACGCCTGTAATCCCAGCACTTTGGGAGGCCGAGGCGGGCGGATCACGAGGTCAGGAGATGGAGACCGTCCTGGCTAACACGTTGAAACCTCGTCTGTACTAAAAATAAAAATAAAAAAAATTAGCCAGGCGTGGTGGCGGGCGCCTGTAGTCCCATCTGCTCGGGAGGCTGAGGGAGGCGGAGCTTGCAGTGAGCCAATATCGCGCCACTGCACTCCAGCCTGGGCGACAGAGCGAGACTCCGTCTCAAAAAAGAGAGAGAGAGAGGAGAGAAGAGAGAGGAAATTGGCTACAGAAAGAAAGAATTGGCTTGGAGATTTTTCGCTGGCCACTCCTTCTTGAGCCCTGACTGAAAAGTGAGTTCTCAATTTGTGCTTCCAGAAAGTTTGCCCTCCCCGAATTTGTTCCTGGACAGGGCTGAAGGTACTCTATTAAGTACTAGAGTTTCAGATTCGGGCTGGAGTTGGAGAGGTTATGCTGTGGATGGCAGTAGCAGAAACTGCTAGTTCTAAGACACCCTTCTACTCTTCTAAAATCTTGCCCCAGGCACAAAACCACCCGGAATAAAGGCTACATTCCCCAGCATTCCTTGCAGTTGGCTGTGGCTATGTGATTACAATCTGGCCAATGGAATATAGGGCAGCTTTCCCTACTTAAGTGACAGCTGGCTGCACTCTTGGTTCCTTTTTCTCCCCTTTTCCCAGTGTAAATCCTGTCATAGATTATGAGGCACCTTGCCCCACTAGAAGAGTAATTTTGGAGTTCAACTGAATCATGTAAAACATAATCTGCCCAAGGGTGACCAGGTTGAGTTGAGACACCCCAAGATTTTTTGAAGTCAAGAAGCTGGAGAATACAATGGCCATTTAAAAATCTGTGATCAGTTTTCAGTCATCCAGGAAGTGGAGGCTTGGCTTTCACAGTTGGGCAGGTTGGGAAAACCGTCTCTAGGGCCTTTGAGTTATGCAAATATAAAGCAAAACCTCACCCTTGGCCCTTAGGGAAAGCCTTGAAGTCACCTGAATGTATATTTTATCCTGAGAATAAAACATTTCTGTTCAGGAATGAAAACTGGGGGTATGCTTTAGCAGAAGTAGTTTTCTGAAGACTTTGGGCTTGGAAAGAAATGTTAATTTTTTTGTTTGGATTTAGATTCCATTGTGCTGGTATATTATTTCTTATTCCTGGTCTTTGTCCATATGTGCATGGTATATGTGCATGTATGTGTGTGTATTCATGTAAAGAAATGTATTCAAGCATTTGTTCAGAGAAGATCAGGAGCTGAAACCTAGTCGTTGGATATTTTAATCTGGGTTCCCTGAAATCAGAGCCTCAGACGACGTTGATAGGTGAGTGGTTTATCCAGGAATGAACAAGGAAGGAAGGAGAATTAATACCAATATGTGCTATTGAGATGGCCGTTGCAAGGGGTGACTGATTGTTCAGTCCTCAGGAGTTTCTGAGAAGCCTTGTGAAGCCCTCAAAACCCTTCTGAAGGAACAGAGAGGGGAAGCATTTATCTGTCAGCTTTTGGCTCTATTGTCAAAAGTTGCCCACAAGGCATTAATTCACTGGTGTTCCTGTGTTGAGCATGTATCTGTGCTTGGTTCCTGCAGGAGTCCTATGTTGCATAGTCAAAGAAGCCCTGAGGCAACAGTGAGGAAACTAGGGTGCATATCTGAGGCAAGGCTCTCACCAGTTAGACCTATGCTAAGCTAGTAGATGCCTGTGATAAACTAGTTGCTGTAGCAAAGGCTAGAATAAGAATGTAAGACCAAGAGTATGTGAAGTAGTACTAAAGAGCTGTCTGACACATTGGGCTAGAAGGATGTGAGTGGTCATTTCCACAATGCAGGTGGTTCAAAGAGACTGTGGGAAGGATCTGGGTTTGGTGTGGTTGACCTTAAGTTGCAATATGGATGACCTACGTATTGTGTTATTCAGGTTGGAATGGTCCAGGAATTGTAAAATACAGTATACTGATGCCAGTCTTTTGAGTTCTGGTAGAAAATACCCTTGTGGATTAGTGTGGTTCCTTTAAGGAAATGGATATCCCTACTCTGCAATGATCACCAACTGAAGGAAACATATATCAAGCTCTGAGGGAGGTCTTTGAAGGCACCCTACATTGGCTTGAGTTTATACAGTAGCACTCCTGCTCCCATCTCCCACGCTGAAACTGTGGAAACACACCATGGCAAAAGCCTTCTTCCAAGAAAATCTCCTGTCTCCTCAATTCTCCACATTTTCATAGTCCTGCAGTGACTGAGGGGCTTTAGGCGGTGCTAAGCACGTTTGCATCGGATGATCTGGAACCTCAATGGAATTTCACTCCTTTCATGTTTGGAAACCTCTCAAGACTTCATTTTTATCCCTTCATGAGAGTCTGGGTCATCCTAACTCACGTAGGCTTGCATACCCCCATTTCACTCTAATTCACATCTTTGATTACTTCCTTCAGAAAATTTACCATAACCTGCAGTTATCTTGTTTATTTGCTTACTTTATCATCTGTTGCTTCCTCTAGAATGTTAACTCCATGAAGGCACAGATCCTGTTTGTCTCATTTGCTGTTGTATCCCAGGGCTAGCACAGCCCCTGGAATGTGAATGAACTCACTAATTTTTTATTCAGGGTACCCTATTTGCCATTGGTTGATGCGCAAATCAAATGGGATTTTTGTGAAAATGCTTTGTAAACTATAAAGTTTTATAAGTCTTAGCATCAAATGAGGTAGATATTATTTCCCCCTTTTACAGTTGAGAAAATGGTGCCAAAGAGTATAAACGGTTGGTCAAAGCTGCACAGGCAGCAAATTGGTTGAAATCAGATTGCAGCCCAGGCTGGCTGTGATTGTGAAGAACATAGACAAGAAATTATAAACACATTGTTTTTTACTTCCCACATTTTGTAATAGGGAAAACCAGAAGAGAGGAGCTTGATTTTAGTATCCAGATTACACATTTAACCAGGAGAGGCTAGGAAGGAGGATTGGCCTTGAGTTCTGTTTCAGGGTCATCAGACTATCTATTTGATTACATAGTAGTCCGCACTTATCGGTAGTTTTGCTTTCAGCCTTTTCAATTACCCGTGGTCAATCACAGTATGAAAATATGAAATGCACTGGGCGCAGTAGCTCATGCCTGTAATCCCAGCACTTTGGGAGTCCGAGACCGGCTGATCACTGGAGGTCAGGAGCTCGACACCAGTCTGACCAACATGTTAAAACCCCATCTCTACTAAAAATACAAAAATTAGCCGGACATGGTGGCACACGCCTATAATCTCAGCTACTTGGGAGGCTGAGGCAGGAGAATCACTTGAACCTGGGAGGCAGAGATTGCAGTGAGCCGAGATCGCACCATTGCACTCCAGCCTGGGTGACCAAAGCAAAACTCCGTCCAAAAAAAAAAAAAAAATACGAAATGGAAAATTCCAGAAATAATTCATACATTTCAACTTGCTGCTGTTCTGAGTAGTGTGGTGAAATCTTGCGCCATCCCACTTCATTCTGCCTGGAATGTAAATCATCCCTTAGTCAAGCATACCCACACCTTATATGCTACCCACCCGTTAGTCACTTAATAACCATCTCAATTATGAGATCCACTGTCCCAGTGCTTGTGTTCAAGTAACCTTTATTTTGCTTAATAATGGATTCAAAGCGTAAGAGTAGTGATGTTGGCATATTGTTTTATTTGTTCTATTTTATTATTAGTTATTGTTATCTCTTACTGTGCCTAATTTATAAATTACACTCTATCATAAGTATGTATTTATAGGACAGAACACATGTATATAGAGTTTGATGCCATCCATGGCAGTATATGTAGAGTTTGATACTATCCACGGTTTTGTGCATTCACTGGGGGTCTTGGAACATATCCCCCATGGATTAGGGGTACTACTGTGTTAATAATCATTGTAGTTAACACTTACTGAATGCTTTCTATGTGTCAGTACTTTACATGACCCTCTTTTATCTTTGTAGTTTTATGAGGTACTATTATATATATGAGAAACTGAATCACAGAAAGACGAAGATTCTCACTGAAGGCAACGTGGCTGTGTGGTGGGCCTGGGTTTGAAATCCAGAGTCAGGGCTCCTGACTACCATGCTATAATGCATAGGCCTTATGTGGCATTCGACATGAGATTATAGTTTAGGCCCTGACACTTACTTACTATATGACTTTGCCCCAAACCTCAGCGTCCTCAAATGGTGATGATAAGAAGTGCAGTCCTGTAATCCCAGCACTTTGGGAGGCCGAGACGGGCGGATCACGAGGTCAGGAGATCGAGACCATCCTGGCTAACACGGTGAAACCCCATCTCTACTAAAAAACACAAAAAACTAGCCGGGCGAGGTGGCGGGCGCCTGTAGTCCCAGCTACTCGGGAGGCTGAGGCAGGAGAATGGCGTAAACCCGGGAGGCGGAGCTTGCAGTGAGCTGAGATCTGGCCACTGCACTCCAGCCTGGGCAGCAGAGCCGGACTCCGTCTCAAAAAAAAAAAAAAAAAAAAGAAGTGCAGTCAAAAGGTTGTTAAGGATACTTAGATAATGTCTGGGAAGAATTTAACATGGTCCTTGTTGATAGTCAGTACGCAACAAATGTCATCTGTCCTTCTCCCCCCTCCTCCTCACCTTTAACCAAATAACTCAAATAGTATGAGTGCTTTTAACAGTGATGATTTATTAAAAGAAACAACCCCTCTTCCCTGCCTCCCATATCGCCTGTAGTCCCTATCCACAGGCTCGCTATTTTCATCCATCTTCCTAGTCGAGGAACTCCAGACAGTCACATCTTGGAAGATAGGAACTCCAGGAAGGGATGCTTATCTTAGAGAAAGATGATCCTTAAGATAACTCTTCATCTGAGAAAAAGACAAAAAAATTATGCCCCAGACCTACTGGTTTGGGGACCTGGGTCCACAGAATACAATCAAGAGGCAACAGTTCCTGACTTGGGAAATCAATCACAGCAGCAAAGAGCCAGCCAGGCCCTAAGCACCCCAAGGATTGCAGGTGGATTGGCCAAATAATACATTCTGAACACAAAGGGTTTTTATTTAAAGTGTGTGCTGATTCTTTTGTGTTTAGTGCAACTTAGTTTATAATCAAAACTGAATTATGGTAGCTTTTTATTATGCATTTTTCAACTAATGGCTACTGAAAACAAATAAATTATCCTGTGAGGCCCCGGAGACATTTTCACAGAAAAGGGGTTCTCATAAGTCAACATGGTAATGTACGTCACAGGGTTAAAATGAACATACTTTTTTAGGCTGGAGTGCAGTGGTGCAATCTCGGCTCACTTCAAGCTTCGCCTCCCGGGTTCACACCATTCTCCGGCCTCAGTCTTCTGAGTAGCTGGGACTACAGGTACCTGCCACCATGCCCGGCTAATTTTTTTTTTTTTCATATTTTTAGTAGAGGCAGGTTTTCACCGTGTTAGCCAGGATGGTCTCATCTCCTGACCTCGTGATCCTCTCGCCTCAGCCTCCCAAAGTGCTGGGATTACAGGCGTGAGCCGCCGCACCCGGCCAATGAACGTACTCTTTAGTCATCAATTTTACATCTTAGAATTTGTCCCAAGGACAAATATGCATACAGTTTAGTACTTGTTACAGTCCTATTCATAATATCAAAATAAGAAATATCTTAAACATGTGTTACTAAAGGTTGCTAAGTATCTGAGCATAGATGATGAACTTCTATCAAAGATGATGGGATAGAAGCATTAGTATTGACATTAAAGTTGTTTGGGGCTGGGCACGGTGGCTCAGGCCTGTAATCCCAGCACTTTAGGAGGCCGAGGTGGGCGGATCATGAGGTCAGGAGATCAAGACCACAGTGAAACCCCGTCTCTACTAAAAATACAAAAATATTAGCCGGGCACGGTGGCCAGCGCCTGTAGTCCCAGCTACTCAGGAGACTGAGGCCGGAGAATGGCGTGAACTCAGGAGGCGGAGCTTGCAGTGAGCCGAGATCATGCCACTGCACTCCAGCCTGGGGTGACAGAGCAAGACTCCATCTCAAAAAAATAAAAGGCACAAGATTATCTCATTTTTATATAAATATTATATATTTGTGTATGTTTAAAATATGCACCAAAGTGTTAAGCAGACGTTTTGAGGTGGGGGATTATGTGTGATTTTTATCATTTTGCTTAAATAAATAGTCTGATTTTGCTCCAGGACATACTGGGTTAGGGAATTATTTTAAAGGTCTGGAAACCACCATCCTGTGATGGATGCATCTTTTTCTTGGGAAGGTTGGGGGAAGAGGGAGACAGGTTTCTGTCCTACTCATTTCTGGAAAGTCCCACTGAGGCTAAGTGCACAACCTTCCTAGACTGAACAACGTTTGGGAAAGCAGAGAGGGCCGGGTGTTTTTACCTGTCCTTACTCTGCAACACACTCATGACCACACCCATTGCTGACACAGTGTTCTCCGGGATTGCAGTCCCAGTCACCTGTGCAGAGCTCGACGCAGGTACCTATGGAAGAACAGATGTGCTGAAAACCACCGTACTTTTGGGACAGATGCTACAAGAACAGCCCTTGATTAAGAAGTCAGTTCTACATTTTTCTTTTCATTCAATATGCAGTATGATTTATTACTTGCAGAATAATATCATTAACATATTATACATTCTAGTTAAAGGCAATGCATTCACATGATCTCAAAAAAGTAAAGCCTACTTTAGAGATGGGGATAATTGTGTTTGTGGAGGGGAAGTGCAAAGAAGCCCACTTAAACGTCTTCACTCCCCACTCTGCAGGGAATAGAGTGGAGAAGAAGAGACTCACACTTACCACATGCCATCGGGAGTCCCTTGCAGTCACCCCATGCAGTGAGTCTTACTAGGCCCACTTTACAGGTGTGGCAGTTGGGGCTCAAAGAGGTGACTTGCTAGCCAGTGGGTACAGAAGTGAGATTCAACTGAGATTTGCCTGGCTCCTTGGTCTGAGCACCTTCTGCTATCCTACATGGTGAAGCTCATCCTGACATAAGTGCATATCTCCAAATTTCAAGGAGTCATTCCGGACCTGATTGGAGGCTCCCAAGTTCCCAGAACATCAAGCTCTTTGAGGACCAATGAAGTAGGTTCAAAGAGTTGGTTAGGATCGCACAGGCTTCTAGGAAAACATACTCAGAACTCTGGATGAATATGTACTGTACTTTGGCTACTCAGCTGTTAGCAGGAATTTCTTTACCTGATTATGTCTCTGGATCTTTCTGGGACTTTTCTCATCTGTAAAAAGGGCACCTGGATTCAGCAGGGGTAATGAGTTTTGTTCTCCATTGTCAGTTTCAGTCAATGGAGGTAGCTGTCTGATGCTGTTTTGAGAAGGGTCGGACACCTTGTCCAGGTTCAAAGAGAATGAGTGCTAGGACTGATTAGCAGTATCTGAGGGGTGTAAGAAGGGGACCTGGTGGAATATCTTCAATGTAGTTGTAGACCTCAGAGAAAATCAATACCATCCCCCCATGCTTCCCGTAACTTTTGTTGATTTGTGGTGAGCAATCTGAAGATCCCTCTTCACCACTCACAGCACTTTGACTTATTAAATCAATAATATCTACTTATTAAGTATATATCTGTTGATTTCTTACTATGTATAAAACAGAGGAAATTATTCAGCAAATACAAAGATGTAAGACAAACAGCTTAGAGTCTAACAATATGGATAAGACATATTCAAAGTACTAAAACAAAGCAATATGTAACAAGTGTCCTAAGAGTGGTATATTTGAAGAATTAAAGAGTCTCAGCTGGGCTTGGTTGCTCATGCCTGTAATCCCAGCACTTTGGGAGGCTGAAGTGGGAGGATCGCTTGAGCACAGAAGTTTGAGACCCAGTCTCTACAGTTTTTGATTTTTTTTTAATTAGCCGGGCTTAGTGGCACATGCCTGTGGTCCTAGCTACTTGGGGGACTGAGATAGGAGGATCGTTTGAGCCTAGGAGATTTAGGCTGCAGTAAGCCATGATTGTGCCACTGCACTCTGGTCTGGGCAACAAAGCAAGATCCTGCCAAAAGAAAAAAAAGTCTCAGAGAATATGACATTACTTCCAATTAGATTAATCAGAAAAGGTGAGTTTTGAAGTGCAGGAATCTTTTTAAGTCAGAACTGAGGGGCATGGGTGGAGTGTTGTGAGAAGAAAAAAAGAATTACTAACAACAATTCACAAGGGGAAATGCAGGGCTGGGATTAGGGTGAGGCAAGTGAGGTGCCTAGAGCATGCGATTCCAGGAGGCCCTTGCACAATGCTGGCGGTGAGCACTCGTTTAATGTTTGCACCCTGGGTACCTCATCCACTTCAATCCTCACCCTGAAATACAAGGAACACAGGAGGAGTGGCAAATGGAGGGCTGGGTAAGTGTTAGGGAACAGCTGGAAATGAAGCAGGAAAAGTAAGTAGGGGATAAAGTTACGGGGCGTGGGGGGTGCAGATCTTGAGGGCCTTAGGAGTTTGGATTTCATTTGATAGATCAAGACAGGGATGTGATTGATGTTTAATTAGGAAGATTATTCTGGTGTGAGAGCCTAGAATGGAACAGAATGCAACAAGCAAGTAAACTGCAGCAGAAAGACAGGGGCAGGGAGAGCTGTTAGGAAGCTCCTGGCATGGCCCAGACATGAGGTCATCGGGGCTGGAAATACTGCGTGACAATGGGAGATGGCAGGGGAACGAAAGAATATATGCAAGAGACACTTTCAGAGAATGGACAGTATTTGGCAACCAGTTTAATGTTGAGGGAAGGAGAGCGAAGAAGAAAAGAAAGTAATAACTGAATCCAATAATCTTTAGAGAGAAGAATAAAATACCATGAAGGATAATGCAGGAGAAAAGAAAGTTTGAGAACTGAGGAGGTGGCAAGCAGTGTCAGACACAAGTCAGAGGTTAAAGACTTGGCGACTGAGGAGTCATGAGATTTGTCCACAGAATCTGGAAGAGAAGTTTCAGGAGAGTGATGGGGCAGGGCTGGAGGCTGTAGGCCATCTTTGAGGGGTCAAGGAATGACTTATTGGGAAGTAAGGACAGAGAACTAAGATTACTCCTTTGAGAATGTTGGTAAAAGGAAAAGAGATTGAGATGATTAATGTTTAACATGATTAAGAAAATATTTTCTCTAGGTGATCCAATTTATTTGTAGCAAGAGAGGAAGAAGCTTATGGAGAGGGAGATGGCAGGAGTCAGAGGGTGGCTGATGAGGGGGTAAGAGGGGAGGTACAGAGAGTCCAAATGGAGCGGTGACCCAGGGAAAGGAGTGGGGGAAAGTGGAGGTAGAAGAAAAGAGATTCTGCTCTGGGGAGCTGGGTAGCACTGGAGGGTCCCTGCAGTGGCCCTTTAAGACCTTTTCTTCTCTCCTTTCTTCCCCTCTCCTCCCCAGCACACACTGGTCCCTGATGTCCTACTTTCTGGCCCCCTCATTCAAGGAAAAATGAACTGGGCTACTTTTTGCCTGGACTTACCCAAAAGTCGCAATGGCCTCACTGCAGCCTGAAGCCCTTGTACCTCTAGGCTGAAGATGATGAGGATCACGAGGAGGAGGAAGGCTGCCAACTTCATGTTGCTGTTAGAAGGCTTTAGAAATCACAGCAGGGCTGAGAGCAGCTGAAATTTATACCTTCCACCTGCTGAGCTGGAATGCAAGGCCAGGGGTGGGACTAGGAACTGCAGACACCTAAGCCCTGCCCAGAAACTGACATTTCTGGAGAACAGCCACCTACCTTGTGTACCCTGGGTCCTTCCACGTTACCTAAGCAAGGCTCTGAGCCAAGGGAACACCCTCCTCTGACAGACAGATAGGACTACTACACCAGGTCGGGTGCAGTGGCTCACATCTGTAATCCCAGCACTTTGGGAGGCCAGGGCAGGAGGTTCACTTGAACCCAGGAGTTCAAGACCAGCCTGGGTTACAAGAGCAAGACCCTGTCTCTACAAAATTTAAAAAAAAAAAAAATTAAATAATGAAAAAGACTCCTAAATCAAAAAAGCTGTGAGTGACTGAGAAAAGGGCTGGCGTAAGTATTGAACATAAGTATTGAATGTCTGCTATGGGCCAGGCATGGGCTCTGCATGAGAGAATCCCAAAGAGAAATTACAGTCTGGGAGCTAGGTGCCAGGTAGCAAGGGTGCAGTCTGCTCTTTCCCTTCTTCCCCCGACCCACCCACCCCCAACTTCCAGGCCTAGCACCTCTGGAAATGAGGGTAGGGAAAAGCAGTACAGTACAGGCAGGGATGTTCCTTATCACCTGCTGGTGGTACAGAGGTGACCTCAGTCTCCCACTGCCTTGGTCTGATTCTCTCTGCTTCTGGGCACCTAGGCAGTGATGGTCTTTGCCTATAGGAGCTATGTAATTTTCTTGAGATAAAGCTCTGCTTTCTTTCATCCAGCTTCATTTCTGAGAACCCAAACTCAAGTTATGCATATTAAACTCTTCTAGGATATCTCTCATCCTGCAGTTCTGGGGTGGGAGTGGGGGTGGGACCATAGTAACCAACCTGCTGGGGAGTGAGGTTTCATTTCCCCCTCCTTGTAGCACTCCTAATCTAGACGAATGATTTTCTTAAACACACACTACCCTTTTTTTTTTTTTTTTTGGTTTTTTTTTTTTTTTTAGGGGGGAGTAGGGGTGGTGTCAGGTAGGGAGAAGTATGTCCTCTTCCCTCTCCAATGGCAAGGAAGCTGGAGACATGTATAACCTTTGGCCATGTGTCCTGTGTCCCAAAAGATATATAATGTGAGACAAGGAGGATACCTGGGCTGGTAGAGGGTAGTGGGATAAGTTTGCAACCTTGTGATAGTCCCCCTGGGCCACTTTCTAAAGTGAAGTCAACTTTAGACTTCACTTGTAAGTCTAAAGTAGTTGCTGTTTCACTTCTGGTTCCTAATTCTGAGGCTACAGGGAGAGACCCCCTCTGTACTACTTCATGTATCACAGTTCCTGAAATGCTATTAGTTAGAGGTCCTTTGGGCAAACAACTGACCTTTTCTGCAAATCCTTCTTATCTAGCAAGACCCAGCCTAAATGTTACCTCCAAAACTTGCCTCAACCTCCACCCCTAGGAGAGTAACATTCTCTTAGTACTTATCCTTGTCATAGGCTAATCAGACTTCTATTTTATAATTATTAATATGATTTTACATTCTTCCCTGTATATTGATGGCATGGCCATGGGGTCTTTGCCTGGATCTTTCATCCTCAGCGCTCAATCATGGGACTTATTGTATCTCAAAAATTTGTTTGGAGGATAGGAGAATTCAGAGAGCGTGTTGTAAAGTTAGAAGAAACAACTCAACATGCTTTCCCAACAAGATAGCTCATTCTCTGCTCTGCTAGTTGAAGGAGACCTAAGCCACGGGAAGTTTTAGTGCCCAAATAATGTTAAATGCAGAACCCACAATCAAAACTCAAAGACATTGGTCCAAACTAAGTCCACATGGACTCTCAGGCTACATCCAAATTCTGAGAAATAATTTGACTCCATCTCCTGGTACAGGATAAATAGGTTTTGAGGTCAGAGAAATTCTGCTGTATCGAGTGATGGCACTCATAATACATTTTCATTAGCGTAGAACAAACTGCTTTGAGCAAAGCAAACTCACTCTAAGGCTTCTGAGTGCCTCAATCAGATAAAAATAGGTCGTCATCCACCAAAACTGTTACTTGATCTATAGTGAGTTTGAAGAACAGTAATGTTGCCCTTATCGGCTGTTTACTAAAAGGCCGTCTATCCTTAAAAAAGCCTGAAATCCCAAGTACAGCACAGTGGCTGAGATGAGGACCCTGGATGTGATCAGTCCTGGTTTGCAGTCTGGCTCCACGCTACTTGCTACTTGTGTGACCTGGAAAATAACTTCCACCTTTCTGAGCCTCACCTTCTCTTTTCTGTAAAGTGGGAGTATAATTCCTACTTCAATGTTGGACAGACCAAATACCATATATGTCACCTACATACCCCTGGCACAGAGCCCTCCAACACTCAGCACCTACTAGTTTGTGGATTTCTGGAAAGGGGATGCGTGTCTTCTATTCCCTAGAGCGGGGGCACCTACAGACAGCTCATGCAACGTTATTCATTTCCAATTAAGAAATATCTCAAGATAAAGAAAACTCAGAACCTGTCCCTATTTTATTCTGCTGGATATTGTAAACTGAACCATGAAGAGACTCCAAGGCCGAAGCTAGTATTACTGTCACTTCCATAGCTCTGTATGGGCTCATGATTTCCATATGGAGATCAGGAAGCTTCGTATGTGACCAATTCTGCCTATAGAGTGATTAGCCAGGGGAGGGTCAAAAAAATCACAGTCTTACATAATTTCCTCACAAGGTGACAAAGAGCATAGCAATTATCTAGAGGGGACAGTCGCCACCCAAAGGGCTTCTGCTCCCAGTGAGAGCCTTTACAACGTGAGAGGGTCATTATCAGCAATGGCTTGTGAGTACTCAGCTCTTCCAAATATCAGCTCCACTGCTCCTTATGCTCTGAAACTAGAGCATGAGACCAAGGCCTGGGTTTCTGGGAGGGGCCTGCAAGAGATAGCTAGACACCACAGTAAGTATGCGTCCTTCCACCTACACCTCTTCATCTTGTACCAGATCTAGATAGTGTAGCAGGTAAGCCTAAGAATCTGAGCTCAGGACCCAGATCACCTGGACTCAGATCCTGACTCCAACTTAGTAGCTGCATGACCGAGGACAAGTTATTTAACCCCAACATCATGTTGCTGGGGGAAGTTTCCTTTGATGACAACACAGATGGGCAGAGATGGGCTGAGATTTACGTCTTCCCTCCCAGCATGCGCGTCCTGGCTCATGACACAGGTATTTGGAAGCTTAAGCCACAATAGGAAGCTGACCTTTCTGGATTCTATAGACCTGTGTTTAGCATTAAGTATTTTCAAACAAGCTTTCTAAGCCAAGGGAAACAGCTTCTTCCGCCTAATAATTAAGACTTCTAAAGAATGGTAGCCACTTTGAATGACAGAGACAAACGGGGCAAGGAGAAAGGAACTGGCATATACTGGGCCAATTCCTTCTATGTGCTAGATTTTACCCCCCAACTTTTAAAGATCAAAAACATTGTCAGAGGTTGTCTTCATTTCACACCGGAAGAGACAGTAGCTTGCCCAGGTTTACACAACTTAATTCCCCAAGTTTTTCTGATTTCAAATCCCAGCCTCTCTCCTTCACATGACACTGTTTATGACTCTTCTTTACACACTCCCATTTACCAGATTTTAGATCCAAATATTAATATTACAGGGCTCAGGTCTTGGCCTAGGAACAAGGACTGGCATCCTCTTTTCTTCTTCCCCCAATCCTCACAGAACTATCTAGAATTCCTCATTCAATCACACTATCTGAAATGTTAACAAGTAGAGACTTCCTAGGGTAAAAAGCCTCTTGGCATGTTCAGATGTAGGGAAAATCCCATTTGATTATGTTAACATTTTCTTCTTCTTTCCAACTTGAAGAAAACTTAAGTCTTCTTGTATTACAGGTTCTCAGAAATGTTGATCCATCTTTTGTATCTAAGTTTTGTGGTTTTTTTCTCCTATTGCAAAAGCTGCTCCAAATTCAGCCCTGCTGCTCCGTAGGCTCTGAATGTTCAGAAGAACATTCACGTTACGAGGATGACTCCATGGAGTGCTTGATCACTAAGTTTGGTAACTAGCTGGTCAATCTTTTTCACTTTAGCCACGGTTGGAGAGGAAAGCCTCTATATGAGTGGCAGAGGCTGGCTGGCTGTTTAGCAGACTCATTTCTTCTTTCTGAGGACACAGTAGCTTACATTTCCTAGCTTTCTTTGCCATTGGTTTGCTACGGCCAAGCAATTGAGTTCTAGCTAATGGAATATAAGCAGAAGTGATGTACCCCACTTCCAGGGTGAGACGCCTAACTCCCCTGCTCCCCATGCACAGCCTTCCACTCTCTCCTTCCTATTGCTGGCATGAAGCACATAAGCAAGCTGTCTTGGAAGCCACGTGTTGAAGCTAGTGAAGACTACAAGATGGAAGGAGCCTGGTCCCGGAATCACCACTTGGAGGAGGAAAGCTGCTTGCTGTTCAAGTACACCAGTTTTGGATTTCACACGGGAAGGGATAACCAGTAAGGGATAACAAGTTAAACCAGTAAGATTTGGGTTTCTGACCCACTATCTGACCAGCAGATCAGCTGACCCCCTTCTGATCCCGTAGCTGACTGACAGATTCATGAGAACTATTGGGGGAACCTGCCCCCAGTATTTCAACGTAGATTCTTTCTATTTTCCATAAGTGTCGGCCAGCTGAGAAATAAAGAGTACAAAGAGAGGAATGTTACTGCTGGGCTGCCAGGGGTGACATCACATATCGGTAGGACCATGATGCCCACCTGACCCTCAAAACCAGCAAGTTTTTATTAAGGATTTCAAAAGGGGAGGGGGTGTATAAACAGGGAGTAGGCACAAAGATCACATGCTTTAAAGGGCAAAAAGCAGAACAAGGATCACATGCTTCTGAGGAAACAGGACAAGGGCAAAAGAACTCCTGACAGGGGTTTATGTTCAGTGGTGCACGTAATGTCTTGATGAACATCTTAAGAGAAAACAGGGTTTGAGAGCCGAGAACTGGTCTGATCACAAATTTACCAGGGCTGGGTTTTTCTCCACCTTAGTAAGCCTGAGGGTACCGCAGGAGACCAGGGCGTATTTCAGTCCTTATCTCAACTGCATAGGACAGACAGTCCCAGCGTGGCTGTTTATAGACCTCCCTCCAGGAATGCATTCCTTTCCCAGAGTATTAATATTAATATTCCTTGCTAGGAAAAGAATTTAGCAATATCCTTCCTACTTGCACGTCCATTTATAGGCTCCCTGCAAGAAGAAAAATATGGCTCTTTTTGCCCGACCCCGCAGGCAGTAAGACCTTATGGTTGTCTTCCCTCCTTCCCTAAAAATCGCTGTTATTCTGTTCTTTTTCAAGGTGCACTGATTTCATATTGTTCAAACACACATGTTTCACAATCAATTTGTACAGTTAACACAATTATCACAGTGGTCCTGCGGTGACGTACATCCTCAGCTTACAAAGATACCAGGATTAAGAGATTAAAGTATGACAGGCATAAGAAATTATAAAAGTATTATTTGGGAACTGATAAATGTCCATGAAATCTTCAAATTTATGTTCCTCTGCTGTGGCTCCAGCCAGTCCCTCTGCTTGGGGTCCTGACTTCCTACAACACTCTCCCTTTCTTTTTATATAAATGTGCCATGGCGATGAAGGCTTGTTCATTCTCTCGGTTTTGACACAGGATTCTTTGACTGGTCCGGCACACTAAAGACAAGCTGATTAAACAGAGAAACATAATTCCAAAATTTACTACAGTGGAGCCCTCAGTAGACTTAATCCAAGTCGTGGGGTTTAACCCATATTTTCTGCCACCTGATCTAATGCCTCAGCTCCAGGCACAATGGATAAATGAGCTTAAGAGGCTTCAAAAATTTGTTTCTTTAATTTAGTTATGTCCAATGATAAATTATCTTCCCTACCCAGAAGGTGTCCTTTGACCATTTCCCATGAATGATCAGTCTCGTTATAGGAATACAGGGTGATACAGAAATCAGAGGTATTCCAGTCACTCTGCATTTGCATGTGATGTTCGAGACTTATTAGCCGATCCCCAAGACAAATAACAGACTGTCTTAAATCATTAATTTGATTAGCTAATTTTTGATCAATGCCTTGTTGAGAATTCCACATTTGGGTGGAATTGGTTGGCCAATCATTAACAAAATGAGCCGTTTGAATAGATTGGTGTAATGCCACTCTGGGAGTGGTGGCCAGTGCAGTGACTGTAATTAGGCCCATGATCACAGCAATTAAAGTGAAAACAAATCTCTTAGATCTTTTGAGAATTTGTTGTAATACTTCATTAATTAAATGTACTGAGGGGGAAGATTCCCAAGGTCTGAGTAAAGTTGCCGGTATCTAGATTCCTTCTTGAGCTCAAACCAACGTTACACTTTTCCTGGAGTCAAAACGGGAGTTAACACAAGTGTATAAGTGACAATTAATGCATTGGACAGTTTGATTGTTTGTCCAAATTTTGATACTTCCCACTAACAGCAGGCTTAACACAGCTCTGCATAGGAATAGTCAGGTTGGAGGTAAACAAAGCAGAATGTTTGAATCCATGTTGATACTGAGGGAGAGAAGCGGTGGTGGTCACACCAGATTATCTCCACCATAAAGAAGCAATCTGAGGTGACCAGGGATGCTGAAGAGGTAGAGGGGCATACCTGGGTTGAGAAGAATTATCATAATGCCAGTTGGAGTCCCATAAAGGGGAATCAAAAAGAGGAAAAGGGTTCAAAGGGGATTTATCATGGCAGTAGTGGGGACAACAGACAGAAAAGTTTCCCCTTCCCATACTCACAGTCCAGACATGGCAATAGCCAATTTCCAAAGTTCTGGGTGTTCTGGGCTCAGAATGGGGAATATCATATGAGGCCTTGGCGGGGGAGGAGGGGGGTAATGCCCTTATCTTCCCATTTTTAAGGGAAAGAATGAGCTGAACCTCCTATGCCAAGCAGGATGATGATCCTTGTCCTCCCAATAAGAAATAAAATAAGTAGCCTCCTGGCATTCCTTTCCCCCAGAGGAGCAATTGTTTTTTAAATAGCCCTTTGGTGCCCAGTCTACTACTAAACCATATGAATCGTTTTTTAATACTACTGCATGTGAGTTAACACAATCTTCCCAAATTAAAGTTTTAGATGGGCCCTCAAAATTTTTAGGACATGGTTTTTCTCCAGGTTTATATTGAAAGTATGGGGTAGCTCCTATTACTCCCCTTTTCATTTGTCCTAAAGGAGAAAGGGAGAGGCCAGAGACCAAATGTCCCCATTATCCTGTAGCTAATCTCTCCAGAAGATAAGCTGCCCAGACTTGAGTTTCTAGATGGATACAACCAGGTGCATGTCCCAGGCACAGAGGAGGGTATTTATAACCCATAGTAACATTAAATGCAGGGCCTTCTTCTCCTGGTTGAGTGGGGCAACGGTCATCTATAGCTCCAGGCAACAACACACTATCATTAGTATAGATTTCTGCAGAGCAGCCATCCAGGTAAGAGGTTGAATAAGTGGAGGAAAAGGCATAGAAGCCTAATAATAATTTTGTGTAGCAGGTAAATCCATTTGAGGGGAAACTAGTGAGACAGAAAGTATAAGGAGGAGAATGATTAAATAAAACCTATTGTAAGTGAGATCCAGTGCTGAAAGAGGAAGAGAAGACGAGAGGGATGTTATTTTCAGGCTAACAGAAATGGTGAGATTTTTAGGTTCATAAGAAGAAAAAGGGAATTAGGAGAAGTAGGATTAGTTAGAGGGGTATCCATGCCATTAGGGAGGATTGAACCAGATGCATTTTGATTTGGCCTGCCAGTTTCTGAGGAGTCAGCACAGATCTCACCAGGTATGAAGGCAGTCTCTGATGCCAATGTCTTTTCCTGGTAGTTTTCATTTTCAGTATTCACATGAAGTTTAAGTCTTCTAGTGGGCACCCAGACAGGGAATTGATGATCTGGTGAAACGCAAACCTACCCTCTTCCCCACATTAAAATTGTTCCAGGTTCCCAGGTATTGGTCTGGGAGTTTTTCCATAACACTGGCTTGCCTTCTTTTAGGGAGAATTTTTCACCTGTATAATGGTGTTCAGCTGCAGTCAGAGTATTGTCTTTAGGAAACTTTAGAAAGTTTAAAGTAAACAAAGCTAAATGTAATTGGGAGTGGGGAGTGGTTGAATTATGCTTTTAAACCAGCCTTGTCTTCTTTTACAGTAACTTGAAGAGGTTTAGTAATTCCTTCATGTTTTGGACCAAGACCGAGTCTGGGAGCAAACCTCATGTTTTCCATTATATGTTGACTGGGAGCACTATAAGAGTTATGTGGAATATTAATTTCAGCCGCCCCATTGTGCCAGCAAATCTCTACCCCAAAGATTAATGGGGATTGGCATGATACAAGGCTGAATTGTACCCTTTTGACTATCAGGGCCAGTACAAGGCAAGATAAATGTGCTCTGGTGAACTTCATCAACTTTTCCAACACCTACTAGTCCCATGTTAGCAAGACGTTTAAGCCAGGAGGAAGGCCATAAATCAGAGGAAATAATAGAAGAATCAGCCCCAGTATCTGCTAGGCCCTCAAACTTTTTTCCTTGAATGTGTATAGTGCAGGTGGGCCATTGTTTAGAAATTACGTTAATCCAATAAGCAGCTTTTTCACCACCGGAGCCCATCCCAGGGCTCTATGTCTTATCTCCTTTGTGTAAAACAATATTAGGTAGTAAAAGTAATTGAGCAATTGACTCACCGGCTGGAATGGAAATAGTAACCTTGGCAGACACCATAAGTTTAATCTCATCAGAGGAATCAAAATTAATGAGACCAGTATGAACAGTGATTCCTTTAGCAGAGGTGGGTGCCCTACCTAACACCAGGCCCACCGAACCTTGAGGTAAAGGGCCAGTGACCCCTGTGGGGACAATTAAAGGCAAAGAATTAGATAGTAAACTTAGAGGAATGGTACTACAGAGATCGACCACCCTGCCCCCTACTGTGGAGGTAGACAAGCATTGTACTGAGACAGAAGAAGAGGCTGGGGCCTATCTGAGTTGGCTGTAGGTAAATTTGTTTGTGCTGGGGGCTGTGTTGGGATGGCTTGAAGTGGAAACGCAACATTGGTCTGAGTCTGAGGTGTCCCATTTGATATTGGGGCCTGAGACTGGCCCCGCTTCCCATTTCCCTGGTTCTGTGGCAAGGGATTTCCATCTATATCAGACTTAGAGTGGCAAGTACTTGCCCAGTGTTTACCTTTACGACAATGAGGGCAAACAGTAGCAGGAGGATTTGGCCATGTTTGTTGAGCTGGCTTGGCCGCTTTTAAGTTTTTAACAGTGCAATTTTTTTGTGGTAACTGCAGGGAGTCACAGGATTGGTATGTCACTAGGATGGCACGTGCCAAGGCCCAATCACTCCAAACAGTGATGGTAACATCATTTCCTGTCAGGACCAGTTCCCGGAATTTTGCACCAACATGACCCATGGTTCCATATCTAATGTTCCCTTTTCGGGAAACCAAGGACAGTGCTCTTCCACCACCCTGAATAGGGTGACGATATTTTCCAAGGGCACCAGAACTCCACCCTGTTTTAACAGGAGTTTAATATAGCAGAGATAAGCATAATGTTTACACTCCGCATGACCCATAGTTACCCCAGACAATACACAGACAACTCACCAATCGTCAGGGAGCCAAACAAGCGTTTCTGTGGACTGGACGGATGAACGTTTCTCTGCACCTTCCAAAGGGAATCGGGTTCCCACATGCACTTAGGAAATAGAAAACCACGTTGGCACGCCAGATATCAGCAGAACCCGCCCCCAATAGTTCAATGTAGGTTCTTTCTATTTTCCATAAGTGTCAGCCAGCTGAGAAATAAAGAGAAAGAGTACAAAGAGAGGAATTTTACAGCTGGGTGGCCAGGGGTGACATCACATATTGGTAGGACCGTGATGCCCCCCAAGCCTCAAAACCAGCAAGTTTTTATTAAGGATTTCAAAAGGGGAGGGGGTGTACGAACAGGGAGTAGGTACAAAGATCACATGCTTTAAAGGGCAAAAAGCAGAACAAAGATCACATGCTTCTGAGGAAACAGGACAAGGGCAAAAGTGGAACTCCTGATAAGGGTCTATGTTCAGCAGTGCATGTACTGTCTTGATAAACAAACAACAGAAAACAGGGCTCGAGAGCAGAGAACCGGTCTGACCACAAATTTACCAGGGCTGGGTTTTTTCCCACCCTGAGGGTACTGCAGGAGACCAGGGTGTATTTCAGTCCTTATCTCAACCGCATAGGACAGACAGTCCCAGAGCGGCTGTTTGTAGACCTCCACCCAGGAATGCATTCCTTTCTCAGAGTATTAATATTAATATTCCTTGCTAGAAAAAGAATTTAGCAATATCTTTCCTACTTGCACGTCCGCTTAGAGGCTCTCTGCAAGAAGAAAAATATGGCTCTTTTTGCCTGATCCCGCAGGCAGTAAGACCTTATGGTTGTCTTCACTTGTTCCCTAAAAATCGCTGTTATTCTGTTCTTTTTCAAGGTGCACTGATTTCATATTGTTCAAACACACATGTTTCACAATCAATTTGTACAGTTAACACAATTATCACAGTGGTCCTGAGGTGACATACATCCTCAGCTTACGAAGATACCAGGATTAAGAGATTAAAGTATGACAGGCATAAGAAATTATAAAAGTATTATTTGGGAACTGATAAACGTCCATGAAATCTTCAAATTTATGTTCCTCTGCCGCAGCTCCAGCCGGTCCCTCTGTTCGGGGTCCCTGATTTCCCACAACAGAGAATGATCGTTATTTCAAGCCACTGAGCTTTGGGACAATTTACTTTTGTTGCAGCAGCTAATTAAGACAGTGCAGATTCTCATTAGTTAGAATGGCTGACTTTGACAAGTCAGCCTAACCTCTTTCTTCTACCAACACCATCACTACCACCATTGCTGCCACCCTCCTCTATACTCCTAAAGAGAGTGGCTACTTTTGGGGATTCTTAATTTCTTGAAGTCACCATGTGGAGGCCAAAGCAACTCCATGTTAGATGCTAATCTGCCATGTTGCCTTCAGATTAACCTCTGCTCTGGGAAGACCATTAAGATTTCCAGTTTGTCTATTATTCTGTGTGTAAGAGCAAATACTTACTGTAAATTCTGCTCTTAGGTCAAAACAACTTTGATGTTATCATACTTTGTCCTACACATCACTTCTGAATCATGTATACCCTTTCCCTGTGGTATATCAGCCCTGGGCCTGTGGGTTAATGGTGCAGGGATTCACCATCTCATCTCTCCACCACCAGAGACACAGACATGGCTTCTGTTTGTAAAGTCCCTATTAAACATTACCTTTTAAGAGATAGGATTTGTCAGCCTCTTTCTTCAGTCTTTCAGCTTCCTTGTACTTTGGGGGTAGGCTTACATAAATTTGCCCACCATGGAACAACTATAAAGTTTTTCTGAGAAAATGGCATTGTTATAGTTGTGGAGTACTATAATCATATTACATTTAGGAAGTGCCAGCCCTTGCTGTATTTCAGATGTAATTTCATTCCTTCCTATAGGCTTCTGGGGCTGGAAGACTTTGGGGTTACATCATTGTGCATTTTGTTGGCATAGGAGAAGGTAATATTTGTGAGTCTTGGGGTTTCAGCATGAAACTGAGAAAGGGAGAAGAGGGGAAAAATGGTGGATTGGACACATTTTTTTTTTTTTTGAGTTGTACCAGCCTGAAATAAGTAAAGATTTCTGGGCCACCAGTGAGTGTCCATTGCAAAGATCCAAGTATACCAGTCAGAAAGCAGCCACTTCCCAGGGAGCATCATGTAGCTTTTAGACTCCAGGGACACCACAAGCCACTGTCAGGTGAGAGGTGCAATTCACACAAACCAGCATAGAGGCCCCCTCTTATTTCTCAAAGTTTTGGGAGAACCCAAGACCCATAGTCTTTATTTTAGGGACTGTTTAATCGGCTTGGCAGAGAAAGAGACTACGTAATTGACTCAGGTCATTTGAGCTCTTAACATTAACCAAGATACTGTAACATAGGCAGATTTAGCCCTTTTGTTTATATTTCTATATTTAATATAAATTTATATTAAATTTTTGCAAAAATTTAGCTTTTGGCTAAAGTCAGCTTTTGGCCACATCTGTTGATCAGCAGGGAAACAGAAGGAGAAGAGGGATTTTCACACTTAGCAAGCAACTCATGTGTGCCAGTTGCACAAAAGCAGGGTTATAGTGAGATATCCAATTCCCATTAGAGAAACAAGGGAGCTGGAACTCAAAGAATATAAGTGACTTGCTCACAGTCAAGGCTTGTGAGTTGCAGTGCTGGGATTGGAGTCAGGCTAACTTGGCTCTAAGGTCCATATTGAATAGAAACCTTCTCTAGGATTCCCTAGCAGACACACATACCCATGCCGTTTCAGGTCCACTCTCAGGTTGCTTCTGCTGGGGCCTTATGAGCCTGAGGGCAGAAACTCATAATCATTTGAGGACCCACGAGGTGGTGCAGTCCAGCATGAACATTTCAAACTCCAGCATGACATTTCAAACCATATAGGGTAGCCCCCTACCCTACATGGTTCCTAGCTGGGGCCCCTGTCACCAGGGAAATGGTGCTGGTTTTCACCCAGAAATAAAGAGGAAGTGTCTCTGCTGAATAAGAATAGGTATGCATGACTATCCCGACTCCCTGCTCCCTGAATGATGCAGGGCCTCCTGGCATCACTGGATGTTTGTGACACTATCTCAGGTTGCATTGGCAGCAGCCAACACCAGGGTTTTCCAGTGGCTGAGGTCCAACACATGGTTAATGTCATTGCCTTTTCCTTCCTTCTTTGGGATCAGAGGAATAAATGTCTCTTACATAGAACTGTTCCACACAGACTTAGAGTGACAGAGGAGTAACTTAACCTATCAAAGGCTATTTTGAGCAAAAGCCACCTTGTGTCACTGAAGCTGTAGAACTGAGCCACAGGAGGAAACTGTTAAAAGTTGCAGGGTTATGGACCAGGTACCTATGTTATCCTGACAGCGCAGAAGCACAGCCTGAGTCTCTTCTTTGGCTGGGCCAAGGGTGTGCTGGTGAGGCCTGAGAGAAAAAAGAGTGGCCCTTTTGACCAGTGCCCTTTCGGTTCAGAAGGAACATCTCCTCTTGTTTAAGTGACTTGGCTGAGCTTGCTACTTCTGCTTTGAGAGTCAAATATCAGGATCAAGACTTTAATTATCCCCAGTTTACAGATAATGAAGCCATATTGGGCAGGAAAGAAAGTCACCCCAGGAGAGCAAGTTGGACCTGGGCACTGGCTGAGGACACGGGGGAATGATCATTTGGGATGTAGCTTGTTAAGGGGCTTCCCAAGAGTTCTTGTGATCCAGGTGTTGAGAGGATACAGCAGAAAGGTTGCCAGGGAGACGAGGGTAGGGTACACTGCAAGAGTGAGAGAAATTTAAAGAGAACTCGCAACAAAGCCTTGGGACACCGGGAGGGGGGTGGACCACTCTGTTTTGTGCTGCAGGAGAAGAGAGCAAGAAAAGAAATCTATGTTCAATCCCGACAGCCTGCAGGAGAAGCAAATGCCCTTCATTTTGTTCATCCGCAGTGAGACTGGCATCCCTGTAGCTTTGGGAAACCAGGCTAGTGTGGATACCAGCTCACTCCAGTGGGCCTGACTGGGAGACCATGGGCTGGGGCTCTGGTCTGTGGCTCCTAGACCTGATGGGAGGAGAGTTCAGCCCCAGGTTTCCTGTACTTCAGCTCGTATCTAGACGATGGTAATTGTTGGAATGAGAGACTCAAAGGAAGCTGGAACCTGAACTTTGTTGTTGTCCCATGTGGACACCTGTGTTCACTTTCTAGGTCTACCTCTTGCTGTCTGTGTGTTCTTATGTAACTCACTTAAACCTTTCTGAGTCTCATTTTCTTTATTTACAAAATAAAAGATGTAACATTTATGTTAGATATTGTCCTGAGGATGAAATGGGAGAATGAGGAGCCTCTTCTGCATTCCCCTGGCATCCAGTGGGTGGAGACTGGAGAAGCTGCTAAACATCCTGCCAGGCGGAGGACAGCCCCCGTCACAAAGAATTGTCTGGCCCCTGATGTCAGTAAGGCAGTATTGAGGAATTCTCCTGTGGGGAAAAGAGAGTAAACTCAGAAGTTTGGCAGATCTCAATTCAGATACTGGTTGTACCACCTCTAGGTGAGTGACCTTAGGCAGGTCTGTGAACTCTCTGAGACTCGGCCTTTTCATCTGTAAAATGAGGGAGATAAAACTACCAAGCTCACCCAGAAATAACCCCATGCATATATGGTCAGCTAATCTTTGACAAGGTCATCAAGGATACACAATGCAGATTCTTTTATTCCTTTACTTTCGTAGTAGACTTGCTTTCACTTTACTCTTAAAAAAAAAGAATGCACAATGTAGAAAGGAAATTCTCTTCAATGAATGCTGTTGGGGAAAGTGCCTGCAAAAGAATGAAATTGCACACTTGTTTTACGTCATATACAAAAAAATAACTCAAAATTAAAGATTTAAGATTTAAAGATTTAAATGTAATATCTGAAACCATGTAACTCCTAGAAGGAAACATAGGGAAAAAATCTTGACATTGATCTTGGCAATAATTTTTTTTGCCATAACACCAAAGCACAGGCAACAAAAGCAAAAATAAATAAATGGGACTACATCAAACTTAAAATGTTTTACATAGCAAAGGAAACAATGACCACATGAAAAGGCAACCTATGGAATGGAAGAAAATATTTGCAACCCATATATTTGATAAGGGGTTAATTGAAAATATATAAGAAATTCACACCACTCAGTAGCAAAAATTAATAAATACATAAATAACCCAAT